CCCCTCTGAAATACTGTCTGCATTCGCCCCTGAACCTGAGTACAGTGTGATAATGCTTCCGCGGCCGGTATCCTTTTAAAGTGCGAGAATGATATGGTGGCCACCGGGAAGACGCCGCTCCCGAAGCAAGCAATATTGTCGATCAAGTAACCTTAACGTCTCTGAGATAACCAAGACAAGCTTGGATCAATAATAATAAATGTTTGAAAATGGCCTTGTTCCCGATATCGTCTTTCATCTTTAAAGGCGGTTTCATGAACATGCACTTAACGAGACATTTCTAAACGAGTCCTTAACATTAATGTGTTTGTTGAGATATGTTCCGTTTCACAAACGTTTTCCTGTCTTGGATTAGTTAATCTTCAGTTAACTTTCATTGATGAACAAAATGCGTGAGTGCTCGTAAAATGCAGCAAACTGAAGACTTAGTGAACATATTATATTAGCAGTACTGTACTACTTTTCGCTTAACTATTGCGACGTTTACGAAATAATAATATTGTCTACCGCAGATTTTTTAAGAAGTGAAGCTCGGCTGTTCCCGATTGACGAGACGCAATGGAAACAAGTTTCGATTTATTACAGCGCCAGTTATCCGGAATCGAAGGAGTTATGCCCGATTAAAATTGCCATATTTTCTTGCATGATCTGAATTTGCAGTAAAATTTGGAGGTTCCAATTTAGAATTTCAAAGTTATAGAGTTTTCTCTATTTTCTCGTATGCTCATATTTCAAACAAAACACTGCCTAACCAGGCGTTCACTGTTCCGAACCCGAAAACGCCTGTTAACTTTCTGCCTAGCGGACGGTCTCCAACGGCCGTTCACAGCTCCTGTCTTTGTACTGTGCAAACAAGCAGTGGTGAAACCGGCCCACTAACTGTGGGAAAGCTTTCAAAGGAAATATGTCGATTTGATTATTTGGTGTTTTCAGGCCCGTTATTAGTCCTGTACGTGTAGTACATCTATTATCACGAAATGTGACTGTTCTGTCCCGCTGGAGAGACCTGGCGCCAACCTACGCAAAGGGTTACGGAGTTTTCCTCATCCAGGTGTCTCCGACCTGCAGGGCGTCCCAACCGGGGCAAGCTTTAAGCTCATGGCTAGACTCTCGATACCTGTGTTAGTGTAGAGAATGTAATTGTGTTTGTGTGTGTGTGTGTGTGTGTAAGTTAAGGTGATGATAGGACACGGAAAGATCGCTCGCATTCCGTGACCCGTTTGTTAGGGTACTGTTCCGACATTTACCTGGTGTTGATAGGAGAAACCACGGCTAACAGATCAGAGCAGCCGAATGCTAGAATTCTCTCGAGACAGCGGTTAGACTCGGCCTGGCTATGTCGCTAGTATCGAAAATCCTACTACCATCGGGACTGGAACCCTAGGGCCTCCGTCAGAGGCAGTGCAGTGACATGCTGCTGATATTCTGAGAGTCGTCAGCCGGTGGAAAATGAAATTGTTATAGATGCGAATATCTCTTCAATAAAAACTGTCAATGCATTCACCAAATTCATTTTCCCAGAAACACAAATATACGGACAAATTTTATAAGTTTGCTCCGTTTGCAACATCCAGCAAGAACTTTTACAAACACTTTTTGCTTATCTTCTGGTCACTGCTACATTTCTACGTTTTACTACTCTCGCATTTTTAATATATTTTATTTTACCGTGCTTTATCCCTTCATCGAGAATGACTTGTCAGCCATTCATAATACATACTATGATTGGCTTGTAATATATCCACAATTTTGAAAGGATTCTCGAGAACCATGTTTTGCTGCTCGAAACATTTCGATATTGAAATTTTATGTTACCTGTAGTAATGTGTCCTATAAGATTTCCACTCTACTCCTCTATACAACCAAATACTGAGCGTAGGTTATTTATTTTAACTGAAGAACGAGTTTTGACAGTGATATTCGTCTTTTATATTTAGTGTAATAAACATTTTAAATCACCCTGAAATTTAGCATAAGAAAATCATTGTAATGCTAGTGCACTATTAATACTTTGCATGACTTTTCTTAACAAATAAGCATATTCGATTCTTTTCCCCCTGTCCCAATTCCTCTTCGGCTCTACCACGCATTCTAGCCTTTTAATCAACTGAAATGCAATTCCACAAAAACAACAACGCTGTCGCTAGTACACTTTCCACAGAATCGAAGCCAGGTTCTTGCGTGTGTAATTGCCGTCACAGTTCGATCCAGCAAGCTGTTCAATTATTCGGTGGATGGCCCTCGCTTTCTGGCTGGAACCCAATTTGCATTAAAGAAAGACCCGATCTACTTACGATACGGTCGATCGTTATAGTAGTTTTATTAACGTTATCAATATTATTGGGGGGTAATGAGAATCATTATTTTTTTCTTATTCACGGTGTCGGGGCTATTTTTCTTTGCTAAGGGCAATGCACCTACGGTATCCTTTCGAAATGGATCTTGGAAATTACATGATGTGATACTCTTCTGAAAATGCGCCATTCCATGCGTGCATGATTCCATAAGACCTTTTACTTCGGAAATGAAAGTTCAATGTGAAATGAAATATAAATTGTCTCTCAGATATGGTTAAACATTCAATTAAACCCCTACAATACTATTCGTTCATTCGTAAATGAATATTATTTTTATATTTGCAATGTACGATAAATAAATAAAATTTAAAAAATTAAGTTCATAACTGAAAGAGTTTTGTTATAAATGATCGCACAGAGGACCATAATTAATACACTAAAGACTCTAATGAATTATGATCCGAATGTGTGCACCGAAATTTTAGCGTATGTTACAATACGCGTGGAAAGCTCTGATTTAGAAAACGGTAGATGAATTTAAAAAGGTATTGCAGGTACCAAACTTTATTTTTTAATGATAGTATAAAACATTATGAAAGATATTTATACGAAAAATAACTAATGTCTACATTCTTAAAACTTCGTTAAATTATTAATCAATTTTTTTTGTTTATTTTATGTACAATTGCACCTTTAAAGAAATTATTTCAGTGCAGACTTTCTGAACAGACAAATAAGCCTTTTGCGCAATTTTGGCTTGTAAAAGCAAAGACATCCCTTTATTCTTTATGTATTTTGGGAAATTGTTTGCTCATCCGCCATACCGGGTGAGATAAGCCCGGGCATCAAGTGTTACCCCTGATGGTCTCTGACTGGAAGGTCCTTGGCTTTGAGTCCCGATGGCGGGTTCTTGGCTAGGTAGCCAGATTCGAGAGCACGCGCTGTGTGGAGGAGAATTACAGTGGCTGGCTGCTCTGATCAGTAGATTTTCATGGTTTCTCTGATCTCTATGACGTGAATGCTTCATCAGTACCTTATCAAACCGCAACCACGGACCGCACGCACACGATCTTTCCTTCTTCAACTTTGTCTTTCCTCTAACCTTGTACACACAAGAGTGGCGTAGTTGAAGCTTACCGTGCTTTATCCCTTCATTTCGGGGGGGGGGGGAGGTAGTATTAAATATTAACTTGAACAATATAAAAATATAAGAAATAATATATATGTATAGTGTAAGATGGTTGTTGGTGCAAAATATTATTGTATGGTGAATTGTATTATTATTATTATTATTATTATTATTATTATTATTATTATCATGGTCGCGAATTGGCCATCTCGGGACCACACAAACGTGCAACCCACCGAGGCTGTTATATATTTATCAAGGGTAGGTGCACGTAACTTTTATGGGGGGGGGGTAAAGTGACGTTTTAGGCACTTGAAATAGCTTACAAAATGATTAAAGCAGGCATTTGATAAACATTAAATATGAACAAATATTTTTCGGACATCTAAAACTAATCACAAAAGGTTAGGCACATTTTATTATTAAGGAAAGTAACAATATTTTGCATTTATGAGAGTGACTACAAACATATTATTTTATTCCCTTTTATTTCTTTTCATTTCATTTATTCTTTCACAATTTTCATGCTCAACCTGTTAACAGCACAGTAGCACAAGGAATGGGGTGCAATTGTCTAAGAGCGTGCTGATCGGAAATGAGGATGAAACATCCTCTTGGCATTGACTTGCAGAGCTACGTATGTTCGATGTGTTGGGTAAGAGATTTCGGTGCGTAGTCGATTGCGTAATTGACCAGGGAATATTCGCGTTTCAGAAAATTCGCGAAAGTATTTGCGTTTCGGTTTTAAAAATTTAAAAAACGACTAATTAAAATATGATAATTTTTCAAAATTATTTTTTTTAGGCAGATTTAGGCGAACAATTTTAAAATAGGCATCAACCACCCTTTTAGGACATTTTAGACACTACGAGATGCTAGATGCTCTATTTTTTCATGATACGTAAACATCTATAATTATTTTCCACAACCTCCTGAAGAAACTGAATATGCATTAATCCTAAAATCGTAGGTCTATTTATAAATCACACTTAATAAGAATAACAATAAGTAGTATAACTGGCCCTATGTGAATGTGAATATAATAATAATAATAATAATAATAATAATAATAATAATAATAATAATAATAATAATAATAAAAAGAAGAAGACGACAAAAATGTTAATGAAATCATAGAGAGACAAACCACTTCATGGACAATATCTATAAAGAATGTACAAGGAACAGATGAATAAAGATCAATCATTTATGTGGCATAAAAAGGAAAGAACGTAGCCAGAATTGCAAGCGGTTGTAATAGCTACCCAAATTAGGCGATAAGAACATGACATTATGATAAACCGGTTCTCAAAATTTTCCAAGATGAGAAATGTCGCATCTGACGTGAACAAGTAGAAATCATTGATCATATTGTCTCAGCGTGTCTAATTTTAGCTAAGACTAAATACACGAAAAGACACGATAGGGTGTGCATTCACCTCCACTGGCAAATCATGATATTGAAACTCAGATAACATTTTTTGTTTCCTCTTGAATTCTATAAAAACCCAATTATTACTTATTTATTAATAAAATTCGAATTTAATAAAAAATATTTGTTTCATTTGTTACAGCTGAATTATGGCGGAGAGTGTTAAAGTCATAGTAAGATGTCGGCCTATGAACAGAAGAGAAAAAGACCTTTGTTCGAGGGTAAGTTTTTTCTTCATATACAATATTTATTTTACAACACAAACCATGCACGAGTGTTAGGGAAATATTATAAATCAAGGGCGTATTAAAAAGAGTTCATCTGTTAGGAAATTTTCCATGCGTACCATGGAATGTAATCCCATATACCCTAAAATGTTGAGGAACCACGAACAAAACTATTATATTTATTGTTAATTGTAAAAATATTCAATAAAAATAATTTTCATGGCAAAAATAACGCTGACAATGATATTTTAGTTTTGTATTTGTGGGTGACTGGAAACCTCCAGGAAGTTCCTCTGCTCAGATCCACAATTCTTTAAAAATGGCCAAAGGTTTAGAAAATAAGTAAATAAAAAATAAACAAGCTAGATACTGGACATTTTCTGGCAAGACAACCATTAAGAAAGATGTAAGAACAATTCAAGAACCACGAAAGTGATTCAGTATTGTTCGCAGTTCTTTATATACAGTAAGAACAGTTGCAATAAATTACTCTATTTGCAACATTTAGATGATATTTGTTTACTTGACTTATTGTTATAGAAATACATTGTCAATGGTCTATTCCGACTGGACTTTTTGTGTGTAGTCCTGCCTTTGTCAGACAGACCCATTATGTCGCCAGTATGTCAGTCGTTTACGAATGTGTCCTCTAGAGCGTGGTGTACATGGACCACGACCACTGCACCTGCTCCATTGTGAACCCAGCTGACCATGCAGCTCCTCCCAAGACGTTCACCTTCGATGGGGTCTACGACACGGACTCCACCACGGAGCAGATCTACAATGACATCAGCTACCCTCTGGTCGAGGTAGGACTAGCCACTTCATTACCTATCTCACAAATAATAACTCGGAGTCCCCAATCTTTTAAAACAGATGTAAATTCGAAATCTATTTGCAAAGAAAATGATAAGATGAAAATTACTGGAATTACGTCATTATGAAATGTCGTATGTACTGTAGTCGTATGTACTGTACTTATCTATTACATAATTCCCTGCATCCCCGAGATTTTAACAAAAAAATTAGCAACTGAAGCAGAATAGACACTTTTTTGCCTATTGTTTCTTACAGTTTAAGGACACTGAATTTTTTTATAGGTCTTCCCATAAGAAATAAAAGATTAAATACTCGTACCGACCGAAACGCTATAATATATGGTCTTATTGGAAGGACGTCTGGCGGGACAATTCGGTAATCTTCGCGGCGCGCATTTCGATTTCGCAGTTCGCGCACCGTTAAGAGACAGCAATCGCTTTAGCACGTTGTGCACGTAGTCGCCACCAAGCGCACGCCCGGGCAATCGCATGCTTCAGAAAAGGCGAGATCTGCAAAGGCAGAAAGATTACATATTCCTGGCTATAACGCGGGCGCGGGAATTGTAAAAGTTCTGTCAGATTCTACTAAATCCATAATCAATTAATAAAATAAACAAAAAATACTATATACATACATACACACACATATAGATCATATATATACATCACAAAATAATTTTGTAAAAACCGAATGGGGGAAATGGTATAATACCTCCCGTAGGAGAGGAATGGAAGATCCATGCACAGGCGGGCTGTGAACTCGTACTATATACGTACGATTTCTGAGAACACAATGGACTTAGATACACATGCTCTTGGATTCCGACAAGGCGGTATAACTATAACACATATAAGGGAAAGAATTCGAATTCCTCATGAGTGGCAAGAGTCGCGAAAACCCAACACATCACCTGGTGCCTCCTCTTTTAAGGTCTCCCGAAAACTTGTTACTGACAAGAAAGAACATTTTCAAATGTAAAAAAAACTAATTTAATGTTAAAGAAATTAAGTTGTGTTGTAGTTTCATTATAGTGAACTATTAATGTGGGAACTTTATTTCATCCTAACATTTTGACAGGTTAATCATAATTTTATTATATTTTATTTCGACCAGGCATATCAAACCGCCCTCGCACGAGTTACTTGCCCACCTAGGCCCGGCGCTCCTGCAAACATGGGAAACTTCCCTTATTTCCACACTCATTTTCCCTCCAAATTCAGAGGGTATACCGTCGTAAGCAGAAGCAGCATGATTCGGGGATTAGCGGCTTCATACTATGTTTGCCAGATTTGTTCTCTCATACTTTCGATATATGTGTAGATTCTTAACTCTCTAGTAATGAATATTCTTTACTATTTATTATTATTATTTCACGTTTAGTTTCTTTTTAAGTACCGCCTCATATAAATATTTTGCCTTGAGGCAGGAATATGTCTGAACAGCGAATTTTCCCTTGTTTTCGTTGTGTAGAATGTTTTCTTAAATAATTTTGTTATTTGTTGCATAAACTAATAATGTGAAACAAATTAACAATTCTCGCTTACGAACAGACAGCTCTTTAACAGAAAAAATCTGTGACAGACCTTCTAACCTGCTCATAGGAAGGAACGGAAGAAGGAACTTTGTAATCTAAAGATATAGTTACTCTCAATTGACAATTGGAATTCTTCTATTTCAATGGATTCTTTCTTTGCTTTAGTACAGGAAATGACAATTAATATACCTAAATTTGGGTAGTAAGTGCCAATCGACTTCTCCCAAAGACTGTCACGAGACAGATATCCAGTGATGTATATCTCCCCTGTGGAGCAATTTGTAAAACCCTTACTTTAAAATATCGCGCCAGTTCCTCAGGACGCACTGCCCGCTATTTACTTTGCACGCAACCTTGTCGTTTAAAAGATAGCCTAGTAATAAGTGAATCTATCGACTTCTGTATACGGCGGAACTCGTTTAGAAAACACATTTGGGAAATGCTTTGTTCCAAATGCGTACGTATAAACGGCTGTATTCCTCGCATGGTTCCAAAATCCAGCACAATAGCTGACAGAATGGACATATTCAGCTCATCTTTGGAGTCGAGAAGCGTCTTCTTCCAACCATTATCTCGCTTCAAAATAATAAAACTTTTGTGAAACAAATTGAGCCTTTTAGTACTTCCCTAAATAACATTTTTTATAATTATTTGACATTTCATATTCTAACATTATAATTATAATTATTGGGTAACACGTGAAAATCAGTCTTGTCAATGTCGCTGGCAGGTTAACTAGATCACTTGAGTTCGTGGACATTGCGTCGAGAGCAACTGGTGAAAGATTTAAAAGTAAGGGTGTACAGAATGCTTTGGAATGGCGGTATATCACTGGATACCTGGCCCATAAGTCTTGGAGAAGACTGTTGAGAATTATTTCCTCCAAAGTAGCTATTAATTCTCTTTTACTCTGCCGGAAAGCAAACAAATGATATATTAAACTGAAATAATATATCAGTCATATTTCACATTAACAACTGTACATAAAGTAAACATTTTGAATATAAAGTATCTTGGTTTCGCAATCTTGGTTACTTAAGGGAGCAATAATTACATTAACTTCCAATGTTAGTCCAGGAGGTTTAAGTTAGTCTAGGAGGTTAAACAGGCAAAGATTCTTGTCTGTTAAAAGCTCCTTCTAGCTATTGAATTTTAATTCTCTTAATTTTTAAATGATAAATCAAAATATTAAGGATGTTGGACAATTATCCAACAATAAAAAACGTTTATTTGTTATAACACTATTTTATGTTCATCTGCACCTGTTCAATGTGGTTTCCTTTGCATGATTTACATATTCACCAACTAGGGGTTTATTGCCTGAAAATTTGTTTGAAAAATTAGTTATTTTAAAAGAAAATCCCGTTTATTTATGTTAGTTATATTTTTATTATTATTTTGTATTTGAAAATGATATAATATTGTTACAATTTGTATAAACACTTTTAAATATAAACAATTGGAACAAAATACTAGTTATTGTTCAGTGATTAGTATGACTGTCAATTACTAATTTATTACAATTAACAATTACAGTAAATTGTTGCAATAAAAATTATATAACACAAAATATAATAATTTTCTGTAGTTTGAGTATATGAAGTACTTTAAATATGTATGTATTGCATGTGTATGTAATTGTCAATTACTAATTTATTGTAATTGAGGATTACAATATACTGTTGCAATAAAAACGATATAATACAAAATTATTATATTTACTGTATTTTCAGTTTATGGAGTGTTTTATGTATGTATGTATGTATTAAGCAAGTTTATGGAGTGTTTTATGTATGTATGTATTAAGCAAATCAAAATCTAATGTATTTTGAGTATGTTTTAAATACTTATTTACAAAACATTTTGTCGAAGCACTTAAATATTAAATTTAAAATATGTTGTCCAACCCTGATTGTAATGGAGTAGATAAATGTAATGAACATTATTCAGATAATTGATATGTGACCAGAAGATTTTTAAGTTGTCTTATACGACCAATATAACATGACAATTCTTTTTAGTATTGTAGTACTTAATCCCTTTCTCAACAAAGTTCTTAATATATGACAACTTACCTTGAGACCTCTTTGTATTTCATGTACAGTATTTTCTTCAGAATTTCTATGCTATGAAATTCCCCAAATCGGGTATAATGTCGGTGAACAAGACCAGAGTCAAGTCTCCAAAATCAGCATTGTTTAGTTAAGTGAAGAAATATGTTTAGAAAAGTCCACTTTTCCCTCGTCAAAATTTCATAAAGATGGTTCAAAAGACATAAAACGTTTTGCCCGCGAAATAGACGGTTCAGATAAGAACCGTTCTCCTGCAAAATGAACATGTTTGAAATTATTTTTGAGATTTTCGAGCGTCTATTCTTGTGCGCCGACAATACAAGGAAATATTAAATGCGAAGGAAAGAGTAATTTCGACTAAAAGCAAAGGAAGCTAAATAATCAATAAGTGAAAAAGAAAACTAATTCAAAGAAAATGACAAATCAATAACAGAATTTTGGAAAAAATTCTCTTAGATCTTGTTATTGGTCAAGGTTTATGTGATAATAAGCAATGTTTTTAATGCGTCAACTAAATCAGGGCTACTCAAATGCAAGAATTGGGGCGAAACTTCTGCGACGGCCCACAGGAGTTACTCGCGTGCCATTCGCGTTTCACTAGTCTAGAGCCGATCGCGCCCGAGTGATTCCTCTCCCCTCCCACGGAGCTCCGTCAACACGCAGGGGGCCACCCCTCTTCCACAGATGGTCTGGGCCAAGGCAGTTAAGTGGGCCGCCCGTTTGATTATTTCGTGTTCCCGGACGAGTTATCTGCTATGGTCATCAATCTCGAAAGTTTATTCAACGTTTTATCACGGGAGTTGGTGGTGATCTTCCCCCGCTGGTTGGTGAGATCCTTCGCAGACCTACACGTCTGCTTAAAAGGGCTTTCCCAACCAGGAACTCCCACCTGCGGGGCACCGTCCCACCCGAGACATGCCCCTGGCTGCTCTCCCGACATTTGTGGTAGCCACCCGTTTGAGCAGCCCTGTACTAACGGACGTAACATGTCATTAAAGTCCAGCCATTGGCAACGACGTGATTTGAATTTAACCGATCGCGACATCCACGAATCACAAAATTGCTCACTAACTGTCGTTTGTATTCTGAAACCACCCCGCGTGAGCACAATCCTACGTGGCGCGCTTCTGTTGGGCAGAGCGTGCTGGAGGGCTACAACGGCACGGTGTTCGCCTACGGCCAGACGGGCTGCGGGAAGAGCTTCACGATGCAGGGCGTGGTGGACCCTGCGGCGCAGCGGGGCATCATCCCGCGCGCCTTCGAGCACATCTTCGAAGCCGTGTCGGTGGCCGAGAGCACCAAGTACCTCGTGCTGGCCTCCTACCTGGAGATCTACAACGAAGAGATACGCGACCTCCTGGGCAACGACGTCAAGAAGCGGCTCGACCTCAAGGAACACGCCGAGAAAGGGATCTACGTGCAAGGTAACGCGCGTGTGGCATTTGCAGTGGACTTATTGCTACATTGAAAGGAAGGTGCACCAGGTGCAATGTTTACTAACGAATGCGTTTCAGTAATACGGTTAAAACGGCTAATGATTAGAAAGAAGACGCAAGGTCAATATGCAACGTGGTTTCGATGTCAATAAGCTTTCATACTAATGAATGTTCAGCGCATACAAATTTGTTAATATTTTTCCGTTTTCAGAAAAACTGTCCCTTTTATAAAATGACAGAACTCTTTTCCTTATGAAACTCGATTGGTGCGCATTAACTGAAAGCAGTTCCTCTCATTTCTCCAATTTCATTTATATTTACTTATGCATCCTGAAATGAGACAATTACAAGACACTTTTACATTACTTTTCGATGAAATGGACGTTATGAGGACGTTGCCCTCCCTCTTTCTCGTATTCGTAATGTTTTCACATTTTCAGATGACAATTTTCCTGTCGTGAAGAATCTTCCAATTATTAGAGTGCTGGAATAAAAAAAATGGATTATGAAATTACAACACAAATGTCTTAACATGATTTTACTTGAATAAGCCATTGTAAGCCACTGAAAAAGACTAATTATATTGATAAATAATTTTAAAGCTTACTTAATGATGTATTTTCTTACTCTTAAACTCTAGAGTGACTCCGAATTTTATTGATAGTTACAAGCGCACTTTTTTTATTATAATTCAGTTGTCTCAAATGTAAGTGTACGGAGGAAATTTTCACAAAGGCTTCATAACAACTGTTCTTAGCGAACCTATCTTTAAAAGCCTGTTACAGTTACAGCTTCCATCGTTAACATCATCCATCCTTATAAAGAGTGTCTCAGTATAAATGTTACAAACTTCTAGGGGAAGGAGTCGAAGTTCAATTTTTGCCATGAACACGTTGTGGGAAATTTTATACAACAAAGTTGCACATACGGCGTGCGCCCCTTTCTGTTTGCAACTCATACGCATTGGTGATCTGCGGGCCTCATTCAGAAAACAATTTCGTGTACTCCTCAAACACCAATGAATGATGAATTACCTTCCAATTATGGGTAAATGTCACGTTTGTGACTTTGTTATATAAAATTTCCCAAGACATATTCATACGAAATATGAGATGATCCGCGACCCCCTGCATGTCCTAGAAGTTTGTAACATGTATTCTGAGACAGAGAACTTGTTTCCGCATATAGCATCAGGGTTCATGTCCTTCTTCCGACATATGGAAATGGGTCGAATGTGACAATTATCTCGAGTTCCAACGAACGTTTTTTCGTTTCCCTTTTTAGGTTTCGTATTCACTATCTCCATTCCATGATTACTTTTCATGAACGTCACCTAGCAAGTAGAGGGAAAGCCAGGGCCCAGAGTGCTTGTGTGATGTGATTCTCGTGCCCTGCGGGCCCTTCGCGAGGGGTCGGGGCGAGGGGGCGGGCGGCGACGCGCAGTGGCTCGCGAGTGTGTGCGCTGTGCGCAGACCTGTCGCTGCACCCGGTGCACAACGTGTCGGAGTGCGAGGAGCTGATGGAGCGCGGCTGGAGGAACCGCTCCACCGGGGCCACGCTCATGAACAGCGACTCGTCCCGCTCGCACTCCATCTTCAGCATCAACCTGGAGATGATGCCGGCGTGCGCGCTGGAGGAGGGCGGGTGTTCGCGGGGCTCCGGGCCGGCCGGCGCCAAGGGCGCGCACATCCGGCGCGGCAAGCTCAACCTCGTCGACTTGGCCGGCAGCGAGCGCCAGGCCAAGACGGGTGCGTGCGCCCTCCGCCCCACACCCTCCTCTCTCCACCCTCCCATCGCATTCTCCACGTCTCTTTCCGTCCTCTACGAGTATTACTACTTTCAGTCTGTATTTTCTTCCTTCTTCCTCACACGTCTATTTTTCTTTGTTTCTAATATATCATCACGCTTGGCTTTGTCATCTATCCTTATACGTTTTTATTTATTACATTTATTACATTTGGTGGACTCATTTCTTAAAACGCAAAGTTTGCGCACTCTAAATTCTAAAGAAAGGGAGCTTTGCGGGATTGCGTAGACCCGATAATATATATTATGTTACTGTTTCGTTGGGAAATTATTTCCCTCCCAAAATCGAATTTGTAATCGAAATCAACCGAATTTACCATTCCTAGTTACTCTAGAGGCTTGGGAATTAGTTAACATATGCAACTCTCATAAAAATACAATATAACTATTTTTGCACTAAAGTCACTTCTTTCCCCTGTAAAATGAAAAAGTAAGTAAATTCTTCCAAACTGAAAGATTATCACTTTTCATTTCAGTAAACCCATAAAGATATAAATTAGATAAACATAATTTCTACTTAAAATAAGAGGTTTTAATTTTTTTCTTTCTATCTTTTCCCTGGCGCTAAATTAACATCTTCATTCTTCCACATTTTGTAACAATTAGGGTCTTTCTGATTGTACTGACCTTCACGTCTACTCACGAAGCAATTTTGACTTTACTTTTCACGAACTAGACTGGATTCATTCACTTGTTCTACGTTGATATAATAGTTTTTTAACACTTTATCTTTTACTTTTAACTTTTGTCCTACCTTATCTGCACTTTCTGCGAACGTATTTAATTTAATTTCTTCCTACATATCCGTAGCACTCCTTCTTCACTCCCTCTTCAACTTCTTATTAATTTCTCTGTAGAGAAAAAAAATCTGTTTCCCCGCCATTCTCTTGCAGTCACCTCTTGGCTCCCTTCTCATGTTTCTTCTTGCCCGCTTCACAGTCGCACTCCGAATTGCGTGTGAAAGCACCAGGCGCACTCTCTCTGTAAATAACACGCAGTAATGAGTATTGTTTCGAACTTCAGCATGAAAATTATAGTCTGTATAAGAGCACAAAGTTTACTTTTGATAAAGTACACTTGTGTGAAACGTTACAACATTATAAGCATTGTTAACTTATTAAAAATTAAACTGATTCTTCGTGATTTTAAAAATATAAACAATTCATAATTATTTATTATACTTCAGTAAAATTAAGCTAAATATTCAATCTGACCGGGAAAATTTCGAGCAAGTTAATTTTTTGCAGAGGCCTTTATCGTTAGGAGTAATTGAAGTCCTAATCATCATTGTTGGAGTTCTCCCAGAAATACAAGGTCAAAGGTCACACAAATTCTTTATTTGGAATTATCTCGCATCCCATGCATTGTATGTTAATTAATCTGGGAATAAAATTATCTAGATGAGGATTCTACAGTTTTTTGAACCCCTAACCGTTCTGAAGATATTTTAAGTTAAAAATTACAAATTAATTGTTTTTAGTAAATATCCTTTTGTTTATGCGTTTAATATCAATTGAAATTTTTATAACACTTGTAAGAAATACACTTAAAAACCTGATTGTAAAAATATTTCATATGAACGATTAAAATGTTAACATAGGAAGCCAGGTAGTTTCGAAAAAACAATTTTTATGATATTTGATCTTTAGTTTCCCGGAAAGCTTCAGCAATAACCCCTTCTCTAAAACGTTACCCCTATCAAAAAAACGTTTCACCCCTTCAATAAAACGTTAAGTGAAAGGTCTCAGCAAAAAATTAGCTTGCTCGGAATTTTTCTGATCACCAAAACTGAGTTAACTGAACTATTAGGAAACCGACTTTAAATGTAACAAATCTATCAAAAATACCGAAACGTCGATTCTATGGTGCTGTGAAAAACTTTTAGAGTAGCTTTATTAGAGAAGGGGGTTCAAATAAAGCGCGCAACATAACACTGGCAGGAAGAACAATCGTAAAAACGTAATTGAGGAACGTATTGTAATACGTATCTCTCTATTAACTTAAAATAATAGTTTAATTGATTACAGGACTCATTATTCAAAGGGAACCATGCACGCACAACAAATCTACTCTTAGTTTTCACTGACAAAAGTATAAAAATTGATTTCTTATTGTGACCTGAAACAGAATACATAGACGAAATTGTTCGTCTACCCTTTTTTAAAAGATTTTGTTTTCTCCCGATAATATTAACCTCATTTGCTTTCGCCATAATCATAAATAATTTTGTTTGGGATATTTCATTTCTCTTGATGTTGATAATGTTTCGGACGTATTGTTTTCTTAGCTTATTGCGTAATTAATACATTCATATTTAAAATTATTTTTGGATATTTGAGCTTAACGTTGCAAAATTTGTGTGCAAAAAGCACTAAATATTGATAAAATATTTGTTTAACTACGCAGAAATGCAAAATATAGTATATTCTGATGGAATATAGAATCTTCAAGTAATTACTTCATTATGTATTTTATATTATACATAATGTAAATTTAATAGAATGTAATGAGTTATATCATTATGTTTTGATGTAGTTCCACTCATTTGGCTTTATGTTTCGGTTTAATACAAAAGAGGCTTTGAAAAAGAAAATGTACAATAATGAAGTCCGTCTTATTGCAAAAACAATCTCCTTCAAATTTTAGTCTCGATATGTCTGATTCTTCTGTTGACGTCGAGCCCTGATTCTTCTCTGAATGTCAATCCTCGATCCTAGGATTAATTGAAAACCTATACTGTAGGATGCGAAGAGACGTTTGCTCCCATTGGAAAATTCAAACTCTATACGATGTGTCAAAATTGTTTACTTGGGATCAGAGTAATTCATTTCTGTACATATTGTTAAATGTTCATACACTTTTGCACGCAATCTATAACATCCCGCACGTTTGCTGCTTCCATAAAATGTACATTTGCTTCTGTGTTTTTCAAGTAAATAAAAATGGTATTTGTAGATTCCACTTCTAAGTTGTATATGGTCCGGTTTCTTAATTAAATCTTTATTTGCCCACTTAAAGTTATTGTTTGAATAATGTTGAAAGTACGTTGGTATATTTTCAAGTCTCGTATTCCACTCAGCAATTAGGCTAAAGTGCAATAAAAATAATTAGGTTTGCTTCCAATAATGTCAATTGTTGAGCCATTACATCTTGCAAAGAACAATAATTTACGTCTATGAGGTAATTATTCTATGTTTCTTGCATCTTAGAATAATGTGGTCTAAAAAGCCAGGAGCACTCTCCAAAAGCCCATTCTTAAGAAAAATCGCAATAAATCTTTAAATTTCCTAGAGTGTCTTTATTTAAGGATTTTCCTCACGGTACAATATTTTTCAAGGACTAATATGTTTTCTATGTTTCACAGAAAATTCATATAGTACTGTGTGTTACTGTCATTTGTGAATGAGCTACCAAGATACACAGGAATTCATTTCCTTGTGATGTTTTTTAATAGAATTTATTATAAAATGACATATTAATGTAATTCTTCCATTAGGAAGGGAAATAAAAGATTATTTAAGAGTGAGAATACGTCCTAAACAACTGCAAATCATGAAATTAAAATGAAATATTTCCATGTTTAGGAGCGACAGGAGAGCGTCTGAAAGAAGCCACCAAGATCAACTTGTCTTTGTCTGCGCTGGGAAATGTCATTTCGGCGTTAGTCGATGGCAAAGCTAAGCACATTCCTTATCGAGATTCCAAATTAACAAGACTTCTTCAGGTAAGTTACATATCTACGATCCGGATACTGGTGAAAAGAACGTTATCTTTCTTACTTCATAAAACGTATGACAAAAGGTACTACGTATTAACAGTACGAACTGAACGAACGGAGATTCTATTATTTTGAAAATTATTTGTTCCGAAGAAACTTGGACACCTTGTCAGGGAGTTTTAATCCATTCCTCTTCCTAATGTTTACCAAAGCGATACAGTGGGCTGATTTATGTGTGCGGCATCTCCACACAGCGCACCCATCGCTATGAATGACAAGTTGATAAAATAAAAATAAAATACTAGAACGTAAACAGAATTTAAATTTTAAACGAATTTAAACGACGTAGCCTAATAAATAGAATTGCATTGATTAAAATTTTTAATAATTGTCATGCAAACAGTTTAAATCCTTAAAACAGTCCTTTGTATTGCCAGTACAATGAAAAGAAGAAGAAAAAGGGAAAGAAAAATATTTTATTTATGCAAATATAATATGAAAATGTGAGGCTTTTGCTTATGATATAACTCTTACTAAATTTGTCGATTATTAATATCGTTCCCGTGTATTGAGTTTATTTCCGAAATTAAAAGTCAATGCAATTCAACCTTTATCACTAATGCAGAATGTTGAATGACGCCCCTAGTCAATAGCTTCCCATAGCACGTGCCATGCCTGCCATTGCTTAGACGCGCTACTGTTTTCTCCAGTAAAAATGAAATGTTTCAGAATAACTGAGACGTAATAAGAACTTGGACCTAGAATCTTGTATTTGGATGAGTATATTAAATAAATCTTGTTTTTAATCTATGTATTTTTTTCCTCGTCTGCACATAAGATTAATGGTTAAACAGTTACGAGAAAAAAATCTCGTGGATTAGAATTTTACTTACTTCAGGAATGGTATTACAAAAATATACTGAATGCTGGAGGATTTCTGCTGAAAACGGCTTGTTTTTCGCGAAATATGTGAATTTGAAAGCGCGGGCGGGCTTTCGCGCGCGGAGAGCCAGCTCTTCGCGATACGCCACCTCTCGCCACTCTTTCCCTGCCCTTCTTCAGGGGCCGACTATGCGTTGGAGAAGTGTGCTAAATAAGAACGAAATAGGCTCGGATGAAGGCCCCCAAATAACAGTCGCCAGGCTCGCTCTACTAAGAAGACATTAAAAAATACTTTTACTTTCTAACTTGAAAAATTGTATTAATACGCGAATAAAATTTATTTTAATGATTAAAGAAGTTACTTTTATTGAACTCAGAAAAGGCGGTTGAAATGAAAGGTTTAACTGAAAGACAGTTTGAAAGTGTTTGAATAGCTACAGATGAAGGGAAATGGGTAAAAACATTTGGAGTACGCCCTTTTCGGATGGCCCAAGCGGGCTGCGTGCGCGAGTGCGGCCAGGAAGCAGGTGGCCAGTTGCGGAAGGGGCGTTTCGTCGGGCGGGCGGGACCCTCAGGCGACGTAAGGCGACTTGAGCGCCAACAGCTGCGGCGCCTCGCGTGCGCCCGCGGGCGCCCCGCGCCGCCGCACAGTGGGCTCACACGAGCGCAAAATTCGGGCTAATATTTATGCTTTTTATAAGTGGCTTTAGACAGCATGATGTTTTACAGCACCTTTTGATCGCGTATTTTATATTTAAAAAAGAACGCACAGAATTAAAGCCATAAGAAATATATGTATTCTTGTAGAATCAATGAGAAATTTGATCTTACTGAAAGAAGGAATAACTTTTTTTTAGCCTCGGAAAGTCAAGCTGCAATTTTCAACGAAAAAATGTTTAATTTAAGAAACTACGTTTAATCATAAATGCAGCTGCGAGCACTTGCGGCCTTGAAAATTATTAAATGACCATGGAAATGTTAAAAAATTTCGTAAAAACTGTTTTTATTGCAATTCAATAAATCTTACCCGTTTTTCAACTAAATCCCAAACATTCTACATGTTACTGAATTTGAATTCAGTGCAAAAAACTAATAGGAACACAGTTTCATATTTTCAGAAGATTAGACATACGAATATGATTGTTAAATAAAGGCCATGTATTCTAGTCATGTAATAAATAAAAAAAGAAACAACAAATAGTGTTTATTAATCAGAAAGTGCATGTCGCTCGTCAAGTCGCACAGAATTGATTATACTGAAAGAACATAAATATTCTCCCTGTATACTTCACCCGTTGCACGTCTCACACAGTTTTTGACGTAACAAATAAATAAAAACATAAATATTGAGTGGCGCCATCAATAATGAGCGTTTTTTACAAAAATCGTTACTCCAGAAGTCGGATTAAATACTCGTGGCCCATAGCGGCCTTTTTTGCGCATTTTTGCAATAGAAATGAAACCCGAAGCACGCACATCAACCCATTGCAGCCCACTGTGCGTCGCCTCGCGGCCCGCCTCGTCCCGCCCGTTCCGTCCCGTGCCCGCCCGCGCGCGCTTTCTTCTTTTCCTTTGCGGAAGGCGCCGGCACCGCCCTCGGCGCCCCCTCCCCCCGCACCCAGGCGTTCGTCAGGGCTCCAACTCCCCGCTGGATTGCATGGCGCGCTATCGAGCCGCTGCTAATCGAAATGTGGATCAGCCCCGCAGCGACCTAACGGCAGGGAGACGCGATGAGCACGCAACGCTCGCTTCGCCCCGCTATCTAGTTAGAGTCAATGAGTCACATCATGGCAGCTCTAGGCAGGCTACCAACATTTGAAAATTATTAATAAAGAGGTAAAATAGCTTGCCAAGGCGGATATTCGGCGAGCAAATAAAACATAACACAAAATTCAACAATTAAATTAAATCAATGTAATTAATTGGGGCCCAAATTTTATGATTAACCCGCTCCCCAAGCTTTCGCATGTAGCCTCAAGGCTTAACGGCCTGTAAGCGTCTCGAGGCTTAACAATTGGTGCCAAACGAGGGCCGCTTAGCTATTAACAATGATAGGAAAAAATACGGTTACTTGACCAGAAGTAATGTTAAATATGTAAAAATAATATTTGATGCTCTAAAGTTCAAAAATACGCCAAAAATATATTTTGCCAAACAAAATATGATGATGAAAGAGTGTAAAAAAGGTTGATGGGCTAAGCATTGTACATGTTAGATGTAGGTTCTAACATTAGAAGCTATATTAGACGTAAAATATTAATTTCTTTTGGGTGCAAAAAATGATCAAAAAGAAAGAAATTAATCAGAGGCACTAAGCAATAATCGTCACAGCAAAATTACAATTTATGCAATATTCAGATATTCAAGAACTCCCTAAAATATAAAGTATACGGTGCGCTCTTCAAGAGAATTCTGTTAAATGCTGTACGCAGATTCCATTTGTTCACTTGTCTCCTGGTCAGATGAAAAGTATCTGCAAAATTATTTAAACACTTTGCGATAATCTGCCTCAAGATATATACAAAGGAAACCACGATTCTGGAATACAAAAACGATACCGTCAATTATTATTCAAAATTCTGATGTGGGTGTGTTCTTCTGTCGTAGGATTCCTTGGGTGGGAACACGAAGACGCTGATGGTGGCGTGTCTCTCCCCGGCCGACAACAACTACGACGAGACGCTGAGCACCCTGCGCTACGCCAACAGGGCGAAGAACATCCAGAATAAGCCGCGCATCAACGAGGACCCCAAGGACACCATGCTGCGAGAGTACCAAGAAGAGATTAGGAAGCTCAAGGAAATGTTGGAGGGCAATCAAACCAATGGCCACTCGTTAGGTACGTTGTTCCAGCTTTCAAAGTAATGTCGAAGGTCATTATTCATTTCTTGCGGAATCCCTTTAATACTAGAAAAACAGAGAACCTTCAATTACTTAAAATAAATTCGTATTCTCTTACCGTTTCGAACACTTTTTCTCGATTCTGTCAGACATATTATGGGTATTTTTTATTGATACATTTGTGTGGAGACGTATTGATTTGTCTCTCCCCGGGTATATAAGGTCTGTTATACTATAACAGACCTCAAAAACTAATCAGAATAAAATGTAAGTAGTTTAATAACAAATATTTAGATATTGCTTCAACTTTGTATTAATGAGAAAAAATAGTTGAAACCTAGTGAGAAGAATCACGTTATTTATATTTAAATGAAATATATTGCAGGAACGAGGAACGGATATATGATTGTTGATGCATAATGAGACCGTTCCGAATCCTGTTTAAAAACAGTGAAGATAAAGAGAATGCAACGAAAATGGTTTTAAAAACTTTATCTTTGAATGTGTGTCACTTATTATAATTTGATTATATTTCTTATTGCGTTTGGCTACGGAAAAGTGGCAATTGTTCGAGTAGTCAGTAGTATAAAACTGTATTGGAAGATTAGAAAAAAATGATTGTGTACGTATTGGCAACGCTTTCTAACATTTCAAAGAATCATAATAACTAATTAATAAAAAACTATTCTTGATTAATTGAGTAATTAGTATAATAAATTAGTATAACATAATTATTCCAAGAGTATAGTTTGTCCTTTAATGTTTTGTAATAATAAATTAAACTCATAAAACCGCAAAAACTAATCATCTTTGTCATGCATTTTTACAAGACGTGGCACCAGAGAGTTTCCTGGAGGAGGAGAGGGAGAAGGTGAGGAGAGAGTATGAAGAGAAGATGCAGAAAATGCGTGAAGAATATGAGGCTGAACAAAATCACAAATATCAACTTCAGGAAGATATGAACAAGCTGAAACAACACTACGAAGTACAGCTTGCGAATATAAACCAACAGGTGCGTGTACATTCTATCAATATTTCTCATAAATTTACTTTTCTTTATGTTAATTTCTAGAGACGAATAACGCTACTCCCTAGTCTTCTTTGCATAAATATAACACTGGTCCAAAGCGAATACAGTTACTGTATTTGGATGGGTTACTAAAATAATCAATTTTTTTTGTAAAAAGGGCTTTCTTCATTTTCTTATCAAATCCTTTGAAACAATTTCAGATTAGTTGTATAATAGTTTCCAATAATAAATTAAAGGAAGCACGCATCAATGTATTTTATCATCTTCAATTAAAATATTCAGATTCATCTTCAAATAAACAACAAAAAAATTGTTCAGCATAATTAAGCAAACTATTTAGATCTTTCGATTCAGTCATATCTGTTGTGGAATCTTATGAGTCATGCGTCTACAAAATTACGAGGAAGAATTCCCTGTTATCCGGCTGCAATACTAAGTATACTTTCAGCGTCCGTAGTCCAAGTGGTCCACGTAGAGTCTGGACATGCGACATTGCCAACAAATCATGCATATTTCAACATCGATGCTAATAACACGTCGCTCCAAAATCGCCCATGTTTCTTAGGACTGGTTTACTATCTTCTGACATTAACGTTCGCGCTAGACGTTTTAATTTGACAGTGGTCGTGTTTATTAATGTATATCTACAACTTTACAGTCCAGTAATTATTACAATGAACAAAAATTTTTTGTCAGATTGAATACTACAAAATAATGTACTATGTTATAATGCTTATCGACGAAAATTCTCGGAGTTCAAAGCAGAAAGTAGTATATTATTTGTAACTTTCAAGGATAATTTTTAAAATATGCATGTACTACTAGACGCCATAACATCTTTGAATTAAAATTATTTGAGGGGAGGGGATATTCAACTAAGAATTCCATTCTCCGTAAACACGACCGTAGAGATTATTCACTGCCACCCCCCTCAAACAGCACTAAAAAAGAAAAGAATCGGATCGCGTGCGATTCTTCCTTCGCCATTCTGAACCTCTCCCGGCCGAACGATAGACTGATCTTCCATTCTCATACGGACCATCCCCCTTAGATCGAAGGAAATCTTCGACAAGTGTCGGAGATCCGGAATTCGGCTACAAGGTGCTTGACCCCCAAAACACTTAATGTTTCTTGATGGGTAATCTCAAATGAAGAGAAGACAGCCTTTTGGCAAGCACTTAGCATATCATTCGGACATTTTCCCAAAAATCCATTCTCATCTCAGGTAAAGGATAAATATTGACAAAATAATGTAATGTTTTCTTACAGTATTAATAGCGGCGGCGAATGGTGTAACGGTTAGCGTACTGGACTGTTGTACCCAAGTTGGCGGGTTCAAACCCGATCGAAGCCGTGGATTTTTAAGGGCGAAAAAATCCTTCGTACGCCTTCCTTCGGAGGGGAAATAAAGCCGGCTGTCCCATGTTCGTAGATTTACTTGTATGTAAAAGATCCTCAAGCCTAAATGACGCCTCTGAGCTAAATTCAAATCGCCTGTTTCTCGCCCAAGAAATACCTCCTTTCTCTCCTAGTTGGTGAAAGGAGCGTAGCGAAATTTGCGTGGTCAGACGGAAGAGCGGGTCTGATGATGGCCCGAGTCTCGCCACGTAAAATAAGGCCAATTCAATTCGATATTATTGTCATAGTCACTAGAACTATATTGACGTATACCAACTAAAACTTAAAAAACTAAATTTCAACGTAAAATATTAATATTATTTGAACCTTTCTTTTTTTCAAATGCATATTGAAATTTTTCGTAAATATGTTATATCTATTTTACTTTACTATTTTTATAAGAATAGAGGCATTTGATAATGTATATGCTGGATGTAAAATCCTCATTCGAATCGTGATTTTATTTCAATAACCCGTCAACTCGAGTGCGAATTCTATATTATATTTTATTGATTGTTTATTGGTTATATACACTGAGATGACAAAAGTCATAACATACCTCCTAATATCATGTCTGACCTCCTTTTGCCCGGCGAAGTGCAGCAGATCGACGTGGCTTGGACTCAACAAGTCGTTGGAAGCCCCTACAAAAACATTGAGCCATGCTGCCTGTATAGCTGTCCATAATTGCGGAAGTGTTACCGGTGCAGGATTTTGTGCACGACATGGCCTCTCGATTATGTCACACACATGTACGAAGGGATTCATGTCGGGCGATCTGGGTGACAAAATCACTAGTTCGAAATGTCCAGAATATTCTTCAAACCTATCGCGAACAAGTGTCGCGCATTGCGCATTGTCATCGATAAAAGTCCATCCTTGCTTGGGAACATTAATTCCATGAATGGCTGCAAATGGTCACCAAGTAGCTAAATATATCTATTTCCAGTCAATGATCGGTTCAGTTGGACCAGAGGACCCAGTCCATTTAAAGCATAAACAGTCCACACCATTATGGAGCCACCATCAACTTCCACAGTGCCTTATTGAACACATGGCTTCATGGGGACTGCACGATTCACGATCCCTACCATCAGCTCTACTATCAGACAACTTAAATCAGGACTCATTTGATCAAGCCACGGTTTTCCAGTTGCCCAATCGATTTGGTCACCAGCCCAAGAGAGACGCTGCAGACGATGTCGTGCTATTACCAAAGGCACTCGAGTCGATCATCGGCTGCCATAGCCCATTAAAGCTAAATTTCACCGCTGTCGTAGTGGATACGTTTGTCGTACATCCTACACTGGTTTCTGGAGGTTATGCCTGGAATTAGGTATACTCTGTACACACTTGACATTGAAGATCATGGAAAATTGAATTCCCTAGCGATTTCCAAAATGGACTGTCCCATACGTCTAGCTGTAACTACCATTCCGCGTTCAAAGTCTATTAATTACCGTCGTGCGGCCATATTCACGTCAGAAACCTTTTCACATGAATCATTTGAGTACAAATGAAAGCTCTGCCAATGCACTACCCTGTTATATCTTTTGTACGCGATACTACTGCCATCTGTATACTTGCATATTGCTATCCCATTACTTTTGCCACCTCAGTGTATTTTGCTTCTGGGCAGTAAAAATCACATTACTCCGTTCCTGACAAGTTACAAGCAATTTTGTTGGCTCATTAACGTAGTACATGATTAAATGTCTCTAGTACTAACAAGAATGCGAAGAGGAGAGTGACATAATTTTGGGTGAGTGAATGAAGGGTCAAATGAATGGATAATGGGTAGAATGTAATATCAATCGGGGCCTAGTGGTGCGTATCATCGCCGATATAGAGAATCCACCCGGCCATTAACCTTAAGACACTTTCTTTTTGTTTTTATTCATTTCTGCACTTGTATTTATTTCTTGGACGGCCATGTGGCCTTTCAAGGGCTTGAATACAATATTATTTTCATTAATACTCGTAGGCATTGGCATTCTTTGCATTTTGAGATCTACATCGCTGCTCCGTTTGTTATTGTTTAATTTAGAACTTGGTTGACTTAATACTATTTACTAATATTTACATGCGTTAATATTAGAATTATTGTTTGATTTTTCTATATCATATACTTAAGGGGCTAAATTTATCTCTAGGAATGTTGGATTTTATTCGACATGGGTGCACAGCATTCCACCCTAGATGAAATTGGTTGGTTAAACGAGAAGTATTGAGAGTAGGGCTCCTGTTGCAGGCCAAACTGAGCCCGAGTGCGACGGCGGGCCACGGCAAGAGCCCGGCGTTCGTGGTGACGTCGCCGGGAGGCACCACGCCCTCGGAACTGGTGGACGAGGCGCTCAAGAGGTACGGCAACCGTGTAATAACTACGAAGCCATCCAAAAAATCAGTTTTCTTTTAGAGGGGGGTCCAAAACTGCGTCAAAATCGAAAAAGGGGAGAAAGTTGAACGTTCTCACAATTTTTTTTTTGTAAATATTTTCTTCATTTGAATTGTATTTTAATCAACTTAAGTATTAAATTTTATTAAAATTGTGAAAGTTAAGTTTAGTACAATTTATAGTATTCTACTTAGTAATCTGGTAACTTGCGTATGTCCGCCCGCCAGTCAGTCACGGATAAACCCCTTCTGTTAACATACAGCAGTATAATACATGGTTACATATAGTACGTATATACGGTCAAAATGGTTTGTTCAGTTATGCGGGAATATATTTGCAAATGTTGCGAGTCTTTATAAAGAGGGAAATGTGCTTAAAATAAGCTTAATTTTGAAAATGCATTTTTATTGGCTTTTAAGGGAATCTTACAAGTAATACATTAGCTTCATAAAAAAATACCATTCTGCTGGTTTCGTGTTAAATATATTGAACCAATTGTTAAAAAGTAGATAATGCGCTAAATAAAAAGTCAGTGATAAAAAACATAACACTTATTACTCGCTTCGTGTAGTGATAGATTTCTTCCATTGAAATACAAATGTATAAATTTGAAAGGTTGCTGGAAGCCGGATGAACATTCTAATTCTTCAGTATATTCGGTAATTGAAAAAATGTATTTTAGGACTTGACATTAATTAAGTAAATAAAAAATGTCCCAACCTAATCGTACTTAATTTTTTTGCTCTGCAAGATAAAATAATATGGCAAATATTCCATATTGAAATTATACATATTTTATTTCAGTGATAAGGCTGCGTTAACGCCAGCTCAGCAAGAAGTACTATTGAGGTAAGATTTTTTTTTAATTTAAGGGGTAAGTAATAATTATTTAAGGATATTGCATGTATCTAACATTGTGTAGTGAACACGAAGTTTTCGAAGAATGGAATATTCTAAGACACTTGTTTCATTTTCATTGTAATTCCCGGAGGTAATGTGAACTGTCCACAAGACACAAACGTCAAAGTTAAAAACACTCAAAAATAAAGTCCACATTTATTCAGAGGGCAAGAAATATCATTAAACTGCTATCCTGTAAAGTAAGGTAAATGTGACAGTGACCTTTTATCTCCGAAGTACTGATATAAATACATATTTCTTTGCGTAAGTTAGCCATGCAATGAGAGTAATAGTTTTTAAAAGGATCATAATTACTTAAGCAATTACTTCACGCAGCATTTTAATACAGAGCTACTTATAGATAAAACGATCACTAACCTATTTATATTAACGGGGACTAGCAAGTTCAGCAGGGGAAAAGTAATTTCAATAAATTGCATCGAAACCACTTATTATTTTCTCAGACCTGCTGAAGTCGTTTCGTTGGAAGAAAATTGACTGAGACAAATTAAATTTTAAATGCACCCTGCAATCTCGGTCTGAAGATACCATTATGGTTTCCTCGGAGCAGGAAACTTGATTCCATGACAGTTAGAAACATTACCTAATTACTGTAACTCTTGTACTCCCGTCCTTTGTTTTGTCTTTACTGTACATTTTGATTATACTACGAGACAATAACTCACTAATTTTAGACTTGGATTAATATTTTGATTATTATTGATATATAAACAGTGTTCTGATTAATATAACATTGTGCATCGTTCATGCATGAAAGAGAATGGAGATAATTCAACGTTGTATTCTAATATTTAAATAGTTTCTGTACGTTTTAACGCTTTTTTCTATGAACTAACTCAACATCGAGCCAATACAGGTCAACGCACAATGCAATACAGGTCTGAATAATTCCAGTCGCGGTTTCTTAATGTTCCTCGTGCATGTTTCTTAAAAGAAAGAAGTAAATTGCATAAACTACTTCAAACGGAATGCTCTCGTGGCTCCTTAGCGTGTTCGCTTTCCCCGGCCCAACCCCGGGTTCGATTCCCGGTCGACGCAAAAAATAATCGTGCGCTTTACTTGCAATGTCCTAGTATCTGTTGCTGTGTGACGATGAGAAAGCTCACTTCTCGGGTTGAGAAGACCAAAATATAGCGTAAGGATGGCTATGTGCTAACCACACGTGCCCCTTAATCCATGGTCGCAAGGCCGGAACGCTGCTGGTAGGCCTTAGCTCGTAAAGAGTCGTTCTGCCAAAATACAGACATACTTCAAACGGAACGTATATTGGACCGACTGCGATCTTTGCGGTACTTCACTGCTCTCCCTACCTGTGTCAGCCTTGCTAAGCAAATTATTCATGCGAGCATTTGTTTCCTGGATTTGGGAAAGGCAGTGTGGACAAGCGGTTCGTGACCGAGACGTGAGAGAGTCCTGTCTTCGGATCGCTGGAATGACACCACAACCCGCACGGCCAAATATAATCGTATTATTTTCATACTCAACATCGTGCCCATAAATGAACGAAGAGAAAAAATTATTGATTAAAAAAATAATCTAGTGATACTACAATGCATTGATATTGTAAATCGTATATTTTTTATCGTTATAAACCACCGAATCTGTGTGCAGACAAATCTATTGCTTTTAAATAATTATGGAGGACACTTTTCTTTCACTATAATGAGAGAAAATTTAAGAAGCAAATCGATGAACTGGAGGCAAGTATGAACTCACACCAGGTGAAATAATATTGACTGGAGGCTATAACAGCAAGTCCCCGGAATGGGGCGAAAGCAGAACTGATCGCAGAGGCGATATTGTTTGCGAATTCTTGGCTAGGAAGGACCTGGTAGTCCTAAACACAGGGAGCTCATGTACATTTCAAAGGGGCGCAGCTTCTTCAATAATATACTAAACAATAGGAGCCACAAGGATTGCCAAGAATGTCGTGGATTGGCAGGATTGGCAGGTGACGTTGAAACACTTAGCGATCACCGCTACATTGAATTCTCCACTTTATTCGCTGGAAACAGACCTAGAAAAAGGAATCAGCCAAACATCGGTCTTTCTTGGAACACCAAAAAGCTAAAAGAAGCTGATGCCATAAAATTCCTTGACGAAGCTAAAATACTGAAGTCCATGGTGTGGAGTAATAGGAAAAGTGCAGAGTTGCTCGAAGAGGTAGTACGGGAAACGTGCGAAACCGTTAAAAATACGTGTGATATCTCAATGCCCAGACGTAGGAGCCCAAAGGGGAAAAATCAAGGGTGGACAGCGACTATTGCAGAGCTTCGTCAAGTATGTGTTAAAGCTAGAAGACTTGCAACAAGAGCTAAAACAGACAATCTGCTGAGGGGAAAATTACAAGACTAAGACGCAAAAGACTAAAATCGGAGATTAAAAGAAGCAAAACAAAATGCTGGAAGGCCCTATTAAACGATGTGAACAACGACCTCTGGGGAAAAGCCTACAAGATAGTTATGGGCAAATTTAAACCTTCAACAAGCGCGGGGCTAGAAGACCCCGAATGGGTGAAGGCAATTATCCAAGACCTTTTCCCTAGCAGAGAATGCTGGGTAAGGAGCAGACCTTCTGACTACCTCTTCGACGAAGCCAACCGCTTCACGAAGGACGAACTAGACCAGACGATGAAGAAGGCCAAGATTAGAACTGCACCGGGACTTGACGGAATTCCCAACGCAGTCCTGGGGATAGTTGCACAAGAATACCCAGAATGCCTTTTGAAAGCCTTTAATCAGTGGCTTGAACAATGGATGTTCTAAAAGGGTTGGAAACATCAGAAGAATATTCTCATGCGGAAAGGTAACAAGCCAATCGATCGGACGTCATCGTTCAGACCTTTGTGCCTGCTGGATACGATGAGCAAATTACTGGAGGGGTTGCTCCTTCTACGACTAAAGAGACATGTCCAATTTTCAACGAGAGAGTTTGGATTTAAAAAGGGACTGTCAACAATAGACGCGATCTCAGAAGCAGTCCACCATGCAGAAACAGCAAAAAAGAATAAGAGTTTTTGTGCCTTGGTTGCGATTGACATCGAAAATGCTTTTAACTCTGCCAGCTGGAAATACGTCATACAAGCCCTAGTGGCTAGGAAGATCCCTGAATACCTTGTGAGGATCCTGGAGGACTACCTCAGTGAGAGGAAAATAATCTACACTAACGGGTATAGGATTAAGTAAGACACGGCGTGCGGTGTTCCACAGGGATCAAGATTGGGCCCCTTCCTGTGGAATACCCTATATGACGACCTTCTGAATATCGAACTCCCAAAGAACTCCAGACTCATAGGCTACGCCGACGACACACTGATTATATGCCATAGTGACAACACGGAACTACTGGAAATGAAGAGCAACGAAACGCTACGCAGGGTTAAAAGATGGTTGGACCAAAGTAACCTCCAGATGGCTGTTGCCAAGACGGAGGCCGTATTGATTACAAACCGCAGAGCATACCGCCCCCCGGTGATCCGACTGGGGGATGAACTTATTGAATGGAAACGGCATATTACATACCTGGGGTGGAAATTGATTCACGACTGAGCTTCGGACCCCATATTATAAAATCAGCAGGCAAAGCTGCAAAGACTGGATCAAATCTCTCCAGAATAATGCTGAACTCGGGAGGTCCCAGCGAAAGCAAATGGAGGTTAATTTCCGCCGAAGTGCACTCAAAATTGCTGTATGCTTCCCCAGTGTGGGCAGATGTGCTAACTAAAGAGTCCATTCGACGGAAATTCACACTGATCCAGAGAAGGATGGCTCTTAGGATACTCTCAGGATATCGCACGGTATTCGATAGTGCAGCCTTAGTACTGGCCAGGAAAGGAGGATAATGTACCTGAGGACGACTGCAGACAAACAACAAACCGTGTCACTAAGACAATTAGACAATATCAAAGCGGAATTTACAAACCATCTCCTGCACCAGTGGCAAAACCGATGGGACCTGGAGTACAAAGGTAGATGGACACACAGCCTCGTCCCTAACATCAAAGTTTGGACCAGCGGGAACCATGGCACAATGGACTTCTACTTGACGCAAGCCTTCTCAGGGCATGGGAACTTCCAAGCATATCTACACAGATTTAAAATCGTTGAAAGCCCGATATTCGCACTATGTCATGAAGAAGACGACGACGCTATGCACACCTTATACAGTTGCAAAGCTTGGGAGGAAGAAAGAAGAGACTGCTACTGCAAATTGCGACGGGAATTAACGCCTGCAAACACAGCCCAGATTATGCTGCAATCCAGAGACAACTGAAAAACAATGCGAGACTTCGTGGCTCATGTACTAAAACAGAAAGCCACTACTAAAAGCAGAGAGAGCTAAAATACCATAGCGACCATCTGAAGAGAAAAGCTCATGCTTGCATCCAATCTTCTGCGTGAAGTAATGTCTCAACGACGGTCCCGTGCAGAAGATACCACGGCCCATGTAAATCGAGGAGGTTAGGTCGGTATGCCACGCTGAAGAGTCCGACATAACCGGACTTACCGGTATGCGTAACGCATGTCCCCCTCCTCGGCAAATAATAATGGTAATAATAATAATAATAATAATAATAATAATAATAATAATAATAATAATGCGTGTATGAGAGTGTCAAATTGGATTCCGGAATTGTATGTTTACAAACTTGTTGTGTCTTAACGGTGCTGGGTTAAGGTCCCGCGCAGCCGGGGGCGTCGAGAGCGATGAGTAAGAGCTTGGGTTGCAGGCTGCAGAAGCTGCAGAAGAGCATGGTGGGCGGTGAGCGCGCCAACGACAAGGAGGCGAAGGAGCGTCGCCTGCGCAAGAAGCGCGCGTCGGAGCGCCGCCTGCAGGCGCTGGCCAAGGTGCTTTCCAAGGTGGACGACGAGGAGGGAGTCATGCTGCAGGTGAGGCTTCCACGCGCTTTCATTCATTCTCTGATGTTACTGGGCGCATCAATTGCAATGGCCATTAGTGTACCCTCCGATATAAACAGAGTGGCACTTCACGGTTACGAACTGAAAGGAGAGGGGACGTTCTCATCCAATTGGGAACTCCAATACCAAAAATGTAAGTCGTAACGAAGATCCTGGTTGGATGACGGTATTCCCGTCTCCGTCTAGCCCTTGGCCTTGAAGTGCCACTGTTTAAATCGAAGTAGAGTGAATACTTTATCCGGAGGTGGCGGGTTTTCGTTCCCCGACGAGATCTGGTGCCAACCACTTTTCCATGCTTGACATTTCAATAATTTAAAACTTTCCCAATATTTAATTATTCACATAATCAGTTTCATAGCAGATTCGGCTATTACAGTTGCGTCTGTTGTGAAAAACGAGTATACCTTTACCCATTGTTGAAACAAAGCCATCTAGGCGGATTTAAATGTTGTCAACTTTACGCGATTGAATGGTGTTGCAATAGATACTGTGAGGTAATTCGCGGGGTGCAAAACTCTTAAGACAACTGGGATAGAAATGACTTACTTCTCTCTAGGCAGGGATGTAATACCAATACTGGCCTACATTGGGCATGTGTATTTTGTTGTTAAAAGTCATGATGACGAGAAAAAAGTGACCTAAAGTTTAATTATTGGAATTGACAGAGGCTTCTTTACTTTACTTTCCTGGAAGAACGAATGGCACGGTATGATGTCGATGTTGGAAGTTGGGAATATCGGCTAGCCCCCTGACAGGCAAATGGTTCTCAGGTTGCGTGTCCGATTCATGACAGGTTGCGTCGTGAATCAGGGCCTAGCGTTTACCCAAGATTCAAATTTTGATGTTCTTGTATATGTGAGACGTCAAACTGAATCCACAAAGAGAACTTTTGACATGTAAAGATATCGAGCATGATAAGTAAAGCGAAAAGATATCTTCAGTCTTGACAAAAAAAATGGAGGTTAGTTACCGTTGAGCAGCTATTTTGTTTCGTAAAACTGGAAATGATTTAAACATCGATCTTTAACTAAGACTAGGATGCAAAGTAAATAAATTGTACAAAATATGCATTTAAAATATTAATACGTCTAAAGAGTCAATTTCATGAAAATTGACAAAATAAAACTTTGTCAGAATGTTTCATTTTCAGAATTCGTGCATATAAAAACAAGCTTGTAAATATGTTTACAGAATAAAATAGGCATTTTCCTAAATCTCCGATGTCTAATTATTTGTACGAAGAACCTCCAAATTAAAATTCAAAACAACTTTGCTCAACACTCTTTTCAATTGATATCGAACATCTTTATGCCAGTTGCATATAGACCGGTCTAAAAATAACTGGCGACCGTGGGAAATTCTCGTCGTTGACATAGCGAATGGGAAGGGCTTCCTCTAAAGTGCTGGAGGCGAAGGTCATGCGTTCGATTGCGAGGTAGAGCGGGAATCATTTATGACAGTGGGGGACATCGAAGGTCTTTATACTCGAAGGTGAAACAATTTCTTGTTGTAAATTCCTTGTGTAAAATTGTATTCGTTCAACAATCGCTTATTAATACTACTCTAGACTATTCTAAACTTTCGTAAAATTCCAAAGCGAACACTTGTTCAGTCAATGAGGCAAATTAGTCTTTAAGTTCGGCCCCAAAAGACAGAAGACGATGAAAAATGACTGTTAATTAATTGTGCCTCAATCAGGGCAATTGGCGAATTTGGCAAAACGAAATCTGGTGAACTATAATTAGAATTTTAGAAATGGATATACACGTTTCATAACCGGAAATATCAAGCACAGCATGATGTCCATGCGTTTGTCTTGGCTTGATAATGTCAATACAATGTAAGGTGTCCAAGTCGTAGCAAGGATTTCACAAAATTAGGCGTGTCCCAATCAGCAAAAGGTTTGCCAACAAACTTCATAGGGATGAGAAGTGAAATGTTTTCAACCAAAACAGTATTTATTTTGTCAGTTTGTTTGTTCAAAACAATTTTTCCAATTAAGTTTTAAATGTCACAGGATTATGTGTGCCAGGCGCACTTGTTTCTTCTTCAGAGATGTATAGACAAACTGTGGAATGTCTCGCGTGAAAATTAGCAACTAAGCCGTCTGACTCTCCATCTCTACCCTCCGCGACCTTCAACAGTCCCTGCTTTTACTAAACTGCTCTCGCCCTCTGCAGCACTTTGATCCCGACCCGCCTTTCTGACGAGTCAGTATATAAATATTATAGTTTGGTACAGTTTTGGAAAGTCGTGCTTTCTTTTAGCCACTTTGCAAATCACTTGAGTACTTTTTTCACAGTCATTAGATCGTGTTTCAAGACTTGTTTATGAATCTCATATATCAATTTTTCTCAGAGTTATCTTTCTTAGTTTGCTGCAGCGTCACCTGTATTTACAAAATCGATATCTTGAAGGCAATACAGTTAGTATTCTCATATAATAGCAACATTGTTTCAAACGAAATATGTCATTCATAGCTACAATAATTTTAACTAATTGATTGTAATTAAATTTAGTTGGTTCTGCGCATCATAATAATATTAACAACCCATTCTGCGAAGAACATAATTTTATCAACCAGTTTGCGCGAATCGGCTGAATGACAGTACGTAGGAACTGAATTCATCCTAGTGTCGAAAATCCGCCTCCAATTCGGCACGACTTGAACCCTAGAACATCTCGGTTAGAGACACTACAATGACAAAAGTTGTTGCCCTGGGCCATCTCAGCCGGCTCCAGTTACATAAATACTTTTGTTTCATGTGAACATTCTCCGTTTGGGGGAATGACATAAATAATAGGGATTATCACGGCCCCAGTACAAGTTAGCAAACGTTTGTGAAATGAATGCGAATCATTTCTACATTTTACCAACCGACTTCGCCCCCCCCCCCCGCAATTTGGTTAGGCAAAAATAAATGTAAAAATAATTGCTCAAGTGACTGAACAGAGAATACCTGTGCCCTTACCGTTGCTCATTGGTCACCAACTATTCATTGCATTCCTAGGCGATGGCCACTGACATCAATCATGCAAAGCTGTACAAACTCTAAAACACAAATTGATTATATGATTTTGATATGATTTTGTGACATACGACTATGATCCATGATTTGCAAGAATGGGCATTGAAAGGCGTTCATTGTGAGAAATCTTATTTGTTGGCACTAGCGGAACTTCTCTGCGTTGCCCGTGAATTTGTTTAGCACAATCCCCTATTAGACGGGAAACGAGCTTAATTTTATGCGCAGTGTATCCCGTTCTAACCTGCCTGCCCTGCGCCGCACTGCCCTAACCCACCCTGCTCCATCTCACTGTCATCGTCCTGCTCTGCCTCGCCTGTGCCCTTCTTCCCCGTCTACTCCATACGATCATTCTACCGCCATCGTTACTATTACGGGTAGTTGTAAACACATGCATTGATGCATACTCCCAGCAAACTTCCAGAAACAATTTTGACCTGCAATTACTCAAAGCGTAATGATGCTACCTGCAATTACTCAAAGCCTAATGAATTAAAAAGTATTGAGTGGGAAATTTTATGCTCTTCACGAAACGTTTAATGTACTTTGATTGAAAATTGAAAGACAAGTGCTATTTAATTCCTGTGATCACAATAGTTTATTATATTTTCAGTCACCCAAGTAAATTAAACTTGAAGAAATGATGGCTAATGAGTATGATTTCATGAGAGGTCAGCCTCATTATCAATTGCTACTTATTGACTCTTCATTATGCTTCTAAATTTTGGAAGCTAGACATTTCACAGCTCTGGATATGCTGAACTGCCAAAGAGATTGCAAGTACGCGGATGTCAAACCTGCAGCGTCATCCCAAAGAAAGGGAAGAATGTTTTATTAGAATTTTTAATGTGTCGCTCAATAGATGGGCCGCGTGTGCTTCTAAAGGACACTAGTAAGATTTACTGTTTCTCTTACAATGGAATAGTCTTCACGAGTGGATAATCTTCATAAAACTGGGGGAGGGGGGAAAGAAAAAATGAGTTTGAACAGCATTTGGTTCCCTTCCTGAAATACTTTTTGGAGAATGGATACCCTGTGGCAGAATATTTTTTTAATATTTTCTCCCAAACATGATGGTACAATCAGGGGTCCGGCCGATTGTTTGGGGCGGAGGGAATCGTAGATTTTTTTTTCATTTAAGGTCGCATCAACTACTAGGTCATTAGCGACCACTATTGCTTTTAACGGTATGGTAACTGTGGGTTGACACGATAATGATAGGGGGTGAAAGGACGAAACACAATACAACCATGCCCGAGGCGGGACTCGAAGCCGCGATCCTTCGGTCCGAGTTCGCTACGGCACTACTGCCTTAGCGATCTCGGCCACCGGATCGGCAATAGATTTTTGTTAAATAATAAACATATTTGTTATTAAATTGCATATTATTTATGTAGATTGAACATGTACAATATTATAGTTTAAATAATTACATAATTCGAACATGAATATTTAAATTAATTTTGCCAAATAAAGAAAGGTAATCGAAAACACTGGGCCTTTCGGGAGGGGGCATAGCCCTCATCCTCCCCCTGGATCCGCCAGTGGGTACAATGTAGGAATAGGCATGTCAACTATACATTACAGTACATATTCGTCATGCTAGGCACTGCCTACCCCAAGGAGCTGCCACTGACTTTCTATCATACTTCACCTACTTATATCGATAAGCGAGACTACTCGCCGGAAAGTGTCCGGTGCTCTACCGTCCTCCACTGTACACACTTCCAATAGGCGCGATTTGCATTGGGGAGGAGTCGCGCTGGCTATCTCCTTGCGAATTCTTCTACTGTACACTTGACATTGACCTTTCCATTTATCAAATATCATTTGCGTATGGCAATACTCGTGAAGTTAAACATTCTGCAAGCTTGGTTGCCGCCAAGTAACTGGAGGGAACTGTTCCGTTTGGAACCTTACTCAACCGTTCGATTTGGGAAAACGACCTTGCGATATTTCCTGACGTTGAGACCTTGGAAAGACTACATTGGTACCTTTGATGTTGGTGAAGTGCATCATTTTTCGTAATTAAAAAATAACTGTTTTTAGAAGTTAGTTTATAATTCTGGGAAAACTGTTAAGGGTCAAAAGATCAATGTCTTCTCGTTATGAACGTGCTGGTGAATGGTTGGTAGTGTCGCTAGCGGTAGTTTTTACGGGTAACGACTCATTCTGTAATTCTAACATCTCAAACATGCCTAGAAACAATGCCTACTCAGTTTCCCACAGGTTATTTCCCTAGATCTACGATGACTAGCTCTACTGGATACTTCAAAGAAAAGAAACTCACAAAAAATATATAATACTGAGTTATGAAAAAACTACCAGTTACTTTCAGTTTTACTTTCTAAAAAAGCATACTGCAAGTCTGTTTTTACTTTCTCGTCTCCTATTCACTTAAATATTATAATGCTGCAGCAATTTTTGATAGTAGATAATTCGTGCACCTGCATGAAATAAATTACTTCCGCTAACAAGTTGTGTAGTCAGAATTCACGTTTTGTGGGTCGTTGGCACGGAAATATTGGTGACGGCAAAACGCCTGTCTATGCGATCGTCCGTGGTGAACACTCACGCCTAACGCTTTTTAATTTGGGGAGTACTTTACATGAAGCCTTGACAAATTGTCAAACGTTTCTCAAAAATGGCTCCAAGTTTTAAGATTCAATGTATTTCTCGCGTAGAGAAAAAGACGGTTAAAATGGTGCAGATCTCCTTTGCGTTGAACTTTGGTTTTTCGAAAAATGCAAAAGTTCAATATTTTTTCAGCGTCTTCCTACAAATATAATATTGAAGATTGAGATTTTGTCCCTAATAAAACCCCTTTTTCAAAGATTGATCTTTAAATAATGTCATGTACATTTTTTTTGTAGTAATTTTCGCCTAATTTTGCGAGAAATATAGGTAATTTTTAAGCAATTATTTTCTCAAAAACGACTCCAAAATTTGTCTTTAAAAACTTTCTTCTTTTTCATCCGATAGAGCTTTAGACACTTAAAAAATTGGTGGGGGTCTCATTTTTGGCAAATTCTCTATATTTGTGAAAATTGCAAACGGAAAATATTCATGCTAAATATGTTTTTCCTAAATTGAACCTGTCATACAATTTTTTAAGAAAACGAGCAGTTTCACGTAATGTTTGCTAGAATGAGCCAAGATTTGATTTTTTTCTCAAATATAAATTAGAAAATGGTGCTGGTTTTTGATTTCCATTAAACTCTTTGAATTTTGGAAAATTGATGCAATAATTTCATAGAATGTAAGAAAGTATGTCCTGTTGTACCACCACTTATTCTACCTTCAACTTCCAAAATATAATCTTGCATTGAAAACAGTATGAATTATTATTGTTTGCAACAAGAGAATCTAGGTACTCTTTGGTTTGGTCAGCCTGACAAAATGAAAAGATAAAGAAAATATTAGGAAAACCCTGTAAATGCTTTATTTTGCATTTAAAAACCTAATTAATGAGATAAATTGCTGTTAATACTTTTTTTAAATAATAAAATTAACAACAAAAAATCATATCATAAATAGCCTAAACAAACTCCTATTTTAATGCATATGCATGAAACATTCATTATACTTTACATTCATATACTTTACATTCATTAACTTTTTGTACTATTTATCAAGGACACCCAAATGTGGGGCAGCTGAAGCAATTTGCCCCAGGCCCTGGCTTAATTGGGGCCCCAATTTTTTTTTCATTTGAAACAAATAAAAAATAGATTTACTTCTAATCCAAATCAAGAGAAATGAATTCTGTTTATGTGTTGGGGGTAGCTGGAACTTTGTTAGAAATAAGAAGCCCCCATGGATCTCTTATCCCAAGCCTCTTGTTTTCTGTGTTTGCCCCCGCTACCTACTAGTACCTTTATGAATGATTTTGATATCATTATTATGTAGAGAAATATTTTGTACAAATTTTTACAGCACAGTTTGTCAGCTTTCCTAAAATGCATCTTTCATTGTAGGTGTATGATGATATTGAGCAGAAGCTGCGGCATACGACAGATGTACTTCGCAAATATAAAACTAAGGTAAGAAAGTACAGAATAAAGGAAAACGTTCAATGACACCAAGCAGTAAATATTTCCCCCCGAAAACATTTGCAGAAACAACATCCATTAAAAAAACTAAAAAGAATTGATGAATCTTGATCCATTGCACTAGAATATACACAAATCTCCTTTAAAATTTTTCCCCCTTAATTCATAAAATTCATTGGTATCATAAAAAATGCCCATCAAGAGAATAGATTTTTTTCATTTCCTAAGCATACTCATTAACTTCTAATATTATCTAAAATTTTTTCAATTGTAATTGCGGTACTTAAATAAGTACCGCAATTATTTTTAATTTTAAAGATACAGCAGAGTTAAAGTTTATTCAACAAAGTTAAAGTGCAGAAGGTTTTAGCTATTGCTTTCAGAATTTCTTGTTGGGCAAAAACAAAATTGATTTAATATTTTCACATCTTTCCAAGAATGAGGAATGAGGAAGGTAATAGCTATCACAAGGGCACTTAAAACAGACTATGCTAAAATTTCAGGATCATTAGCAATATAAATGTTTTCATTGTAAAGAAGTCTCAGAAAACAAAGAAATGAAAGAAGAATTACTCATGTATATCAGCTGTGATATAATCTGAGATCGGGCAATGATTTATTATATGAGTCACTCATTTGTAATTACTGGTATCAGAATATTGTTAAGAAACACTTATTGTTTTCAGTATGAAAAACAATATAAACAAATTTTTGACAATTAATTTACATGTTTATAAACATATATAAGGATGTTTACAGTGATTCTCTAAAATAAACTCTAACACTTTGTACTGGTATTTAATCTCAGAAATCATGAGGGAATCTTACAACATTGACAGAGAATTTAAAAATGTATTTGAATTTCTTGCTTACTTTATTTATTATGTTTAATTTTAATAATAATGTGAAACTCTGTAGAACATATCTCAAGAAAAACATTCTAGAATATATACTTTGGTAAAGTTTGGTTTACTTTGAAAATTCACTATTTATCAGCATGCCTTTTATATAACAAAATTATCAATTGAATATTGCTTCATGTTTCAGCTCAATGCTTCAGAAAGAGAAATCAAAGATCTTCAAGGGGAATTTGAAAAAGAAAGAACACATTATTTAGAAACAATTAGAACAATTGATCGACAACGAATATTGTATCAACAAATTGTAGATAAAATAGTTCCTACGTTGCGAAAGGAATGTAACTACAGGTAAGCACAGCAATGCATTCACCTGTTCTCAAATAGATTATATTTTCCATACATTTTATGAAAAGTAGGATATATGAAAACTATGCCTTTTTTCCCTCACTATGAAATCTTTACCTAAGTGTCTGGAGTCACATATATAATAGTCATATTCATTTGTTTCATAATCCCCAATTCAAATTCTTGATGTGAAGCTTGTTCAAAAATTAGGGGTTACCATATAATTACCAACTATGTATATCAGACTGTAAATCAACTATAAAAATAACAAATGTTAAAATGTCTTACAGTTTTTCAAATTTCTAACACTCCCTCCTCTCCCCCACTACCACCATGTGAATGAATTAAATTCTTTATGAATTAATAAGCAAATGTAGTAAAGTTCATTACACTGAAAAAGGATTAATGAATAAAATTATAGTAGCAGCCAGAACAGGTTGTCCCAACAGTTCATGCTGACGATTTCACAGAGGATTATGGGTTTAGTTTTCTATTTTAAATAGTAGCTACATATATTGGTAGTTGAATTATAATAATTTCGTGTCATTTCAAAAATTCTGATTTACATTACTTTTGTCATAATTAAAAATTGTGGAAATGGTTCTGTCTTTCCTTCTTTTTACCCAAGACTCTGAATGACTATTATTTTGATACCAGAGTTGAAATATTAATAATTATCTTTTAAATAAATAGTAACATTTTCTCCCAATTTTCCTAAAGCACTTCTGTTCTGTGATTTAGCAATTTGGAAAGAATTAAAAGTGAGGCCAAATGGAATGACAACACTCAGCAGTGGAATATACCTGATCTAGTAATCACACATGTAAAACTTCCTCCTGCAGGTAATTTAAAACTGATATATGGTTTAATAATATTCACTCTATATGTTCACCTTAGTTAAAATTGCTATTACCACTGACATTAAAATATCATTAAGATTAATTTCATCCAAGTTGAAAAGAAAGAATACTTATGATGTGTTTTTTCTTTCTTTTTTTCTCAAGAAATAATACATTTTTTAATATTACGATTAAAACATTTTGTTTGTAATATTTTAAGTAAATGTTTTTTTAATGATGATTTTGGTGTTGAATAGTTATATAATAGTTGAGTAGTTATTGAATATTATTGCTTCAAAATTATATTAAGTACATACAAAAAAGCAACATTTGGTACTATCTGATGTAGGTCTAAGTAATTGTTTTATCGGAGTTTTCTCTGAATTAATAACAGGTATATACTTCCTTCAACTTCTCATAAGAAGGCATACAGTAACAAACATTTATAATTGGAAGCAATTGTTGGTATATTTCTTTACTTGAAATTTTGTTGGCTCAATTAGCTGCAGATTCAACTCTTAAATAATATTCGTAACATATCTTTCATTTTTTGGAGGATAATATTTCATGAGTGACGTATAACATACTTCATGTAATGTGCATTTGCCATCAAACTTGTTCCTCAAAAATGCTTACATTAAGAATGGGACCCACCTTAGGTGATTGACATATTTATATGGAGGCACCAGTTTATTCAATATAAAAAAGTTTTATAAAACTTTTATGTACTGCCAATTAATATGCCATGTCTAGGAAAAATTTTCCTAGTATTTACACATATTTTTAATTTCAAACATTTCATTTAATTTGTAATACTCAGTGTATGAGAATTTACTCTATATTACTAAACATGAACTTCAAATGTACCTCCAAAATTACATTATAAATAATATCATAAAAATAGATATGTAATATTAATTTTTTCTTATCAAGAGGTTATGAGTTAAGTTTTGTTAACATAGGAGTGCAACGAGGTGGTCGGGAACCTTCTCAAACAGCTCCAGCAAGGCTTGAAGGAAGTCCAGACCTAAACCAAGGGAATAACGTATTGTTTTCACAATACGTTAACAGTATAGCCCAAATACCATACATTCAATATGATGACAGCGGGGGTAATCACACAGGAGAAAATGCATTTATTAAGGTGTGTTCACTTTACCCCAAAACACTAATATCACCAATGTGATGTCCTATTGCTACAAATTCCTTGCACTGTTTGTTGAAGCTGTGCACATAGAGTTGTGAAAAACCTCTTGTAGTTATAATTTCTGCTTCCCATTTCTTATGTTAACTTCTCTTCCATTTCAAAAATAATATTCGCCTATCATTGCGAATAAATTTGCGAATTTCGTGAACAGAGAATATTGCCCTGCCATAATAATGGAGGTGGATATATTCTGAATAAAATTATTCTAATACTTTGTTAGTGACACCAAATCCCATTGTTTGAACATAACAGAACCATTAGCTCCTATATCTATTACTGTGTTATATGATCACTGATGAAATCAAATCTCACTCCTTCTGATACCATTATTAAGCAGAACTCTAATCTTTAATGTTTGTTTATTATGTTCTACTAGATAATCAAATATTAGTTGAAATAAATGTCATATATTGATTTAGTGACATTTAATTTATTTAGTGGTGATCAATTTGTATTGTTTTACTTGATGATATCACAACATTTGGTATTGAATTATGAGAAAAGGGAAATCTATCAAGTTTGTATCAACAATAGTTTTTAGCTTATTTTCTGGAAGTTTCTTTAAAAATTATAATTTTCACTTTAATTACTATTGATGACTGGATGATTTTATTGGTGTACATCTGTTGCATGCTTTTTATGGATCATAATCTGATTTTTTAGGCCTACATATGAGGATTAAATCTTGTTTACAAATGAGAAATGCCACTTATGAGAAGTTGCATGAGAATAAACAGCCTGAATTCATTTTTAAGGAAAAATTTAGTTTAAGTGTCACAAAAGGATTGTTTGAGTGTGTTTTCTGCACAAGGCTTTTCTTCTATTATGCTTGAGAACAGGAGTTCAACCTGGAAGTTTTTCACTCTTACCATCCTCAGCATCCCCATCACAACTGCACTCTAACAGAAGCAGCGGTTCAAGTGATAAATCAAGTAAATCATCCAGCCCTCCTCACTACAGGCTGAGCTCACCCGAATTCCTGGAAGATGGAGATAGGTCTATTATACAGGTAGTGTTGACACTTTGCATGTTTTTTGTATGTTTGAGAATGTACATAGGCAGTAAAATTATTTATACTATGTACTAAATGATAAGCAAAGTTGTAATTTTTTTTTTAGTAAGTTACACAAGTACTAAATACTTTACATGACTGTTATAATTTTAATGTTCATTGTCAGCAAGTATATGCATGCCCATGAATCTATTTATGCAAGTGTAAGAAAATATTAATAATAATTATTAGCAAATGATCTTTCAGTTTCAAAAATAAATGGAAAATATTTTTCATGTACCATGTACTATTTGTTTTCCACAGCTTGCCATTATAATGTTACCCAATTTGATTGACACTTGAATTAAATTTCAAGAAACTTGCAAAGTAAGATAAATTGTTTCAAAGGAATAATTTTTTCCCAACTTTTGAAACTTCACAATTTTCCATTTAAGAATTTTCCATTGAAGGCCATTTTATTACTGATGGCAACTCAAGAAATTTATAACTCAATGATCTGTGCAGTCAATGTTTTGAAGGGTGAGAAGCAATCTGTAAAGCTACTAATAACATGGGTTACTTGCAATCAGATTAAAATTAATGGAGCTAAATGAATTTAGTAACAAAATTATATTCAGTCACTTCTATATTTAAATAACTTGGAAACTAACTTTTCTTGGCACTGTCAACCAGAGACTCACTTTGTGGAAAGTTATTTGATTATGATCTATTTATTACTTGATAATTTATCAATTCATAAATTACAGCTGGCAAAGTTGCAAAATGACGAATGTTACAAAAGGCACATTGAATGCTAAATGATTTGTTATAATAAATTTGTGATAAGAAATATTGTTTTTATGAGTGAAATGCAAGTCATCTGTGAAAAGAAAGTACCCTTATTCAGTAGATACTTCAAACTACTGGGGAAACACAAGTAAATCATAAATACTTCCAAAATTATAATGTAAATTAATTTACTTCAAAAACTCTTTGATATTCTCAAAATGTCTTTGTGAATCTTCAATTCATGATTCTTCAGTTAACTTTCAGTATTATTTTAATGTTTCCCTTTTCCTACAAATTCAATTTCTATTTCAGCGGTTGCAGAAAAGTGAGGAAGAGGACATAGCAGGCAATTACTTCAAACCTAAACGTGCTGCTGAATTATTAAATAGAGCTAAAGAAGATGCAAGTAGAGCATTTAATACATGGAGAGGTCAGTTCAATATCTTTTATCTCAAACACAACACTCTCGTACAGAAATTTAAATAAATAATAAAAATAAATGCTTCACAAAAGGTTAACTGGCGGTATAGGGAAGACAAAAGGTTAACTGAAGGATATACTGTCTCTTAATTTGCTTAGTGCTTTGATAACTACTGATATTTTTATTTAATTAAAATAAATACAATTTGGTGAAATGTTTCAATTATTTAGGGAGGCCATTAGAATAACTTAAATGAAAGAACTAATGCAAAATAAATTAGGGCATTAATCTTCTTAAAGAATGTCCTTAAAATGCCATTATAAGCAAATGAATATTAAAATTACCTTCACAAGGTAAATAGGATATCCAAAGCATGATTTACAAAAGAATGTAACTCATTTCATTAAAAATGAAGTGCACTATTGAGCTCTTCAAATTTTCAGAAGCATTGTCTATCTGTTTTTTCTGTTCTGTTCTATTCAACCTTAGAATTGGGAAATGTATTTGGTACGAGATGGATAATATAACACACGATATTTAATGAAACATGTTATAGCTCTATAATAGGGTGCATAATTAATATATTTCATAATTGAGGACTTGTTACTTTGGTAACCGACATACTGAACAGAAGAGTGAACTGTACTACTCTGAAGAAAAAAACAAACTTGGGTCAGGACAAAATTTCTTGTTTAATCATCCATGAATAAACAAATGACAAAATAGTTGCCCTGATATTAGTTATTTCTCTGTAATTCATGTGAAAATTAGAGTTACTAAAATCATGACAAAAAATTCAAACATATGTGTTGTGATGGAATGGTATGTTGAAATCTCCAATTACTATTTTCTTATAGGAAGCAAGCATAGAAATACTGCTTTAAAAAATTGCTAATCGAGAAGCTGACAAGGGACAAATTATCCAAGGATTTTGAAACAAATTAAAGATGGGAAAAATGACTGTTTGGCATATAAAACTAACCTATTGAAAGGCTAAAGCAGAATAAGAATTAAAAGAAAAAAAGCCTTCATTTAAAATCAGTTCTTTGTCAAATATGTTTGAAACAAAGTACAACTAAGATTCACCAATTTCAGTCTTCCACCTCTCTCCTTCTCTCTCATTTTTATAAAGTACATGTTTTTGTTGTTGTTTGTTTGTTTTCTTTTTCTTTTTCCCCCCTACATACTGTTAAAAGTTTTAACTTCTGGATTGGGTGAAAATAAACTTTGTAAAGACTTAATAATCAATTTTTTTTGTTATCAACTTTTCAGCTTTAAATTTGAATTTTTAACCCACTTAAATGTGAAAAAAATCACAAAATATTATTTATTTCAATAACTTTCAGAAGCACTGCCACAGAAAAAATATATTTCTTGTATTTGCATGCCAAATATTTATACATTTTCAGATATGTGTCATAGAAATCTTATCTGAGTTACATCCAGTCTTTGTGCTATAAATTTTTTTTCAATCCATTCATTAAAATTGGTTGTGATGATATGCTGTGAATTCTTAATTTAATCTTGTGTCATGTTTCTACCAAAAATGCTTCTTAATTATTCTATCAGTTCTGTTGTACATTTCTTTTCTTTGAAATGCCATTATCTTGGTCTTGCTTGGTAAGATGTTCATGCTATAAGTCAGTGCTGTTTTATGGAGAGTTTATTTGCTGTGATTTACAGGTCCTCTTATGTTTGAGATGTTAGTATCACATCATTTGTATATAATATTGTGTGGGTCTTTTGTCTTCTATTAGGTTTATTCCTTTCTTCACAATTTACTTCCATTTTTTCATCATGTGATTGGCATTTAATTTGTACAAGAATGGTGACAAAGCACATTTCTGTCCTAAACCTCTGATGGTTTGAAAGTTAACTGCAATACTTCCATTATTCATTTTTATTTTAACTGTGATTCAGCATACAGGTTTTGAATTCTTTGTATAATTTCAATAAGTACCTCTACTTCTGTCTATATTTCCCATATTTTATCTCTATTTACCCTGTCATGTTTTCTCAAAGACAATGAAAAGGAAGGAGGTTGGCAGGTTCCTTCCCTGCATTTGCCCTTAATGATGTGTATTGTGAATATAGAATTGTTTGTATTCCTGCCTTTTCAGAAACTTTTTTATTCCTCTGCTGTAAATTTTTCATTTATCTTGTGTCTGAATTTGTTAGTACAAAATTTTGAAGCTGTTAGTAGGAGTGTTATTTCTCAACAATTTTCATTTTTTTAAAAGACTAAATATGCCTGTTACAAGTACTGTAGTAATTTAATTTTTGGGTCCATGACCTTATCTCCACATTTTCTGATCTATTGAGCAAATGCTGAGATGGCCCCTTGTTCTGCTTCTGGACATAATAGTAGCGTCACTAAATGTACATTTTGTTGAGCTCTCCTTTTTCTTTGTAAAGGTAGGAGTAAAACAGAGGGTGTGAGTTGCTATTTTGTTTGCAATACTAAAAAATCAAATCTGTTGTTTGTTTACTGATGTGACTAAGTTTTCTATAATTCAGGAGTGAAAATGTCCAGTTTTCAAATGTTGCTAATCTGGTTTTTAGGCGCTTTTATTCATCATTCAACTATGTACAGTAAAAGAGTGAGGAAGAGATTCTGGAGCAGAAGATAATATTCGCAGATTACTTCTGATTACAGATTACTTTTATACTTCTCCCTCTTACATCACATATAGTTTTTACTGTTTTTGGGGAAAGAAAGAAGAAAAATTATCAAAATTAAATAAGTTTTTTGGATAGGTTTACTTCCTTTTTGTGTAAGTTTACATCCCTTTTGGGGTAAGTTTACACCTATCTGTCACTTTGGGGTCTACATAAGCTTGCCATACTTTATTGAACAACTCTATTAGCATGCTCTTGATCTCCTTTCCTCCATGTTTTAATAGTTTCAATGAGATTTCATTTATTCCCAGGACTTTCCTGTTTTTTGTCCTTGAAATATCATTTCTAGTTTTTATAACATTATCTTGAGAACAATTTCTGGATTGTTTGATTCTTCACCACCATGTTTAACAGATTATCACTATTCCACATAATGGAATAATTCTCTTTAAACTCGCCCACTTTGTTGCATTTAAATTCATATGTACAATGTCTCTTGTATCAGCTTTTTGAAAATTTTGAAACCTCTTTTGGGGCCTATGATGTCTCTTTCCAGTGTATTTACAAATTTTTGTCAGTTCTTGTAATAGTTCTGAGTAAGTCTTCTTGTCAGTGCACCATATTTCTTGTACAATATAGTCAACTACTAGTACTGCATGATTGTAGACAGAAGCTCAAGACAAAGGAATGTAGTAGAGGACATAAAAAAGAACAAGAAGAAATGGCTTGCCTAAGTCCACAGTGTGAAAGAGGAAAGCTTACCAATAGCTGCCTTGAAGTATAAATCTGTAGGACTGAGACAGGAAGGCCAAAGAAGAAATGGATCACTCATGAACACCTGGAGGAATAACCACCAGGTATACTGATTTAACAGGAAAAAATGCAACATGCCTAATATACCTGCAGTTTATGATGATGATGATGATGATGAAAATGAAGATAACAGATGATATTTTCATGAATTTTGTGAGATTTCCTGAATGGGTTAAAAACTGACTTTCATTTGCTCTATTTTTGTTTTACAATCATGCTAAAATAAAACAGTTCTACTTAATTTTCCTCACGAAAAACTACATTTTGGGTGTCACTAAATACGATTGAAAACAGGCATTAGATAACAGCCAGCAGCCAGGCTGCCATTATATCTGTCAATTTACATTTTACTGTGATTGAACGGCTGGCACCATGATTCTGAATCATGAATCAGAAATTTGACAGGCATCCAATCAAAGTACGTAGTAAATGAATATAATGGCAAATGTCTGTTTTGACACCAATGGAATTAAGTGGTCTCCGAAACTTCCTTTAACATACTAAAATTCTTGTAAATCTCTTTATTTTGGTAAGATTCTAAAACAAAAATACAATAGTTATTGTGACAAACATGTTGTTAATTTTTTAAAGTAATTTCCACTCCACATCTTCCAAAATTCATGTAAACATATGGCAAATACACACACACACACACATCCACACAAAATAATTCTGCGGTAGAACCTTTGAGAGTTTCTGAAATAAAAACTTCCCACCCACATTTAAGCAGATTAAAAATTCAAACTTTCTGTCAGAAATTAACTAAATATTTTTTTCTTGTTGAGTATTTATAAAGTCTTTCTCACCCATTTCAGGTTTAAAACATTCAGTAGTATACAGAAAAAGTCACAAAACAGGTTTTTAATAAATGGGAATGGGATGAGGTGGTGTAGGTGTCTGAAAATAGGTGAATCTTCATTTTTCTTAGCCCTAAACATATTTCACACAGAATTGATTGAAAATGGTAAAGAGAATTTTTAATTTATTATCCCAGATATATCATGTATAATTACTGAAATGTACAGCATTTTCAAATCTATGTAGTATAAGTATAATCAAAGTCACTATTGATTAGACATTTGCACTTGCACATTCACACATATTGTTTTCACTCTTTTTCTTGTATTGGTACTATTCAAATTTCATCTAATGCTGAGTTCTAATCTAAATAATCACACTCTAATTCATTACTGATGTTTTCTTATTTTCAAGAATTAATTTTTTACATTTTTGATGAGTAACAAGACTGTAGTTATTTATCTAAGATTTTTATTTTTTTAAATTTTAATTTATGCAGGTATCATATATTTTCTTTACACAATTGTGGATTTATAATGCCCCTTAGGTCACTCATGGACAGCAATCTAGCTTTTTGTTTTCAGTGAGGCAGCACAGAGTTGAATTCCTGGGGAGGCAAAATAAAGCTGTAGCTTTCTAATACAATTAATTTCAGTTTGTGTAGTTGTGTGATCAAAGAAAGCTCAGGCTGGCCGAAAAAGATACATGAGGTGATGGGATTGTGTCATGCTCCACATGTGTGTCTTACCCCCGTCCCAGGCCTGGGAACACCACTAGCTAGGCAAAAGTCAGATTAATCTGACTCTAAAATGCTGTGTACATATATACATTATTGATTTATTATATTTATGTGTTATATAAATAGTATTAATCTTGAGAAACTCAGTCAAGTGATCTGATTTTCAACAGTAATTTCAAGTTTTTTGGCTTCTGCCCTTTCCTTTAAAGGCTTTCCAATAAATTCTAACGAGACATTTTATTAACTCTTCAGCAGTCATGCAGGAAATCTTAACATCAATGGATGCATGAGAAGTGATATTCACAGCTTAATTGTAATTCACATAATTTAATATTGTCTTTCACAGAGAAGGTTTGAAAATACTAGCCAAAAAAGTTGTTGTCCAATGCCTTCGTATATTTTGTTATTTTCTGGAGCTGATCCTGAATGCATGAAATGATTAAGAAGTTATTGACCATACTGGTCTGATTTGTTTGATAACAACAATTGTGGTACATTACAAACATGAAACTACAATTAGGTGTTTGAGGAATAAATCTAGAGTGTGATACTTTTCTCAATAAATAGTAACTGAATACATTAAGCAAAATCCAATACTAATAAGAGATGAAGTCAACAATCTCTTTGGATTCAAAATATTGATTGTTATAGGACCAGTGAAAGAAAATCAATGTAATTTTCAGTCAAATCTTGTATAAGTATTTCTTTTCAGTCCTGTTCTTTTCATAGTAACACCAGTCATAAGGCTAATAATGAGTGATAAAACCACTTTGTCATAAAAAATATTCATCTTCTAACTTGTAACTAAATGCAAAAATACTTAACTGTTATGAAATCTTGCTTGGCAGTTATGAAATGTTGATGAATTATGATTTACATGTTTACAAGAAATACTTGTGCTTCAAACGACAATCAGCAAGTGATCTATTCCTGTTGTGAGATTTAAATTCAGCACAGAATGATTGTAGCCACAGGTGTTTTAAACATACAGATAAACTCCCAGAAGTTATGATGTTGTGAGATTACTATATTGTCTTTTCAAGTATGTCTCATTTAAAAAATTTTAGAACCCGTTCAAGAACATTCTTTCAAATAATTGGAAATGATTTGTTCCTTGATCACAAATTATTCTGTCATTGACGTATAAAGAAACATCAAATTAACAAAAGATTTGAAGGGATAAGAAGCTATCAATATCATCATAATTTCATCACAATATCACTGATAAATGATGGAGAAAAAAATGAAGAAATAGTTTTATATTATTCAAGGCAATATGGAAATGTTAAATATAAGTTATCATGTGAAGGATTCCAAAATTATTAGACTACCTCAGAAGCAAATGAATTTGAGATATTACAGGATAAATTTAAAAAAAATAATTAAATCCAGAAATCTGTTCTGAAATATAATTTATGGTTATATTAAAAATATGTAAATAGATGTGTCTACAGATAAGATACTATAACTAAACTTACAAGATTGCTGACTGTAATCCTCAACAATTCTCAAAAGAAAGTCGTCTTTGACATAAAAAATAAAGCATTTCAATCACAAAACAGAAAGTAATTAGTCACTCTTCAAAGAAATATGTTCCATTGAGTCAATTGAAAATAAAAGTAAAATTATAAATGCTGTCTGTAAATAAATTTTACAGAAATGGTTCACCAGAGGGAAATATTCTCCTTATTATTTTTAAGACTCCAATACAGACTTGGTGAAGAGTTGGAATATTCTCTCTTTCCAATAGTGATCCAATCCAGGTTGGGCTCTGGTCTGACATCTTTTTACCAATAGTACTGTCTTTCAGCATCATAAACAGGGGTTAACCTAGGCATATTGGGAACAAGGAAAAGATGGGGAAAAGACCGAGTCAAGTCTTGGCTCATTTTTCTATAGTTAGAGTCAAATGACTGATTAAATGAAGTTGTGGAGGTACATGGGAGGTAGAAAAACATACATTTTACGTATCTTGACCTATCTCTTCAGACACTGTAAAATAATCTTAGACCTAAATCACAAGATACTACAAGTACTTTTAATTTCCATTATTTTCTCTATTATACAATGAGAATAAAATTCTATTAACAAAAGTAGACTATTGGAAATGACAATGAAATTCATAAACATACAATATGTTTCCTTAAGAAGAGAAAAGCATTGATTTGGTCACATCTCACACTAAGTTGACACTAGGTTATTGCAATTGTTCCCAAACAAAACACAGTAGATAAAAGGGTATTTAAGCAGGCACCATGTCATAAATAATAATGCCAAAAATGATTTAGGCTATAATATAATTATTTGAAGATTATGGAATTGTTACATGTGGTGTTGAACTCTTCTTTGATTCTAACACTTTTGATGCCCTCTTCAACTTGTGAAGTGTTCCAATATTTGTTTGTAATAATGATGTTTGAATGTGGTATCATATTTGTCTTGTTCAATTTACAATAAAATATCAATAATGTCTCACATTTTACTTTCTTGGCACATAGCACACCTTCTAAGATTTTCAAATGTACTTCAGTTTCAGGTACATGTGCTTGGCATATTGGATAAAATGAGGTTTGATATCTTTAAACTTGTTCAAAATGTTTTATTATGACTAACGCAAGAAGATACATCCCGAAAAAACTGAGATGCAAATGTAATATATAGCAAAAATTAATTGCGAAAGGAAAATGTTGTAGTTGCCTTTAGATATGAATCTCTATTAGTATCACCAGCATAGAATTCATTCTCTCCTTGAAAAAGTTTTCTTTCTTCTTTACAATACAATTTCATGAATCAATTTAACATTTCATTATTTAATGTCGCCATGCATGATGTGTGCAATATATTTCAATAAGACCGGAACAATTTTTGAAATAATTTGAACTAATGTAAAAACATGAACAAATGTTTGAAAGAATGTAATATATTAATTTGGTTCATTTACTCAACTTTAATGCAATGGTATATTAGTATAGATCATGGTGTTCAAAAGAAAAAATATGTAGGGAAAACTTAAGAGAAAAAAAGAAACAGAATACCATAGTGTATTAAAGTAGTTTGTTGTATTTTTTCCCCTGAAGACTTAAGAAATAGAGAATTACAAATGGATAGAATGGCAAAGACAAACCAAACATTAAGAATGATGTAATAAACGTGATTAAGTTATTATACAAAAAAACAAAGAAATTGTTCCAAGGATAGGGAAAAGAAAATCAGTATCAAACTATTAGAGCCTAATTATGTGCCCTTGTTTTCTGCACCACAAGAAGATATAAATGAAAAATAATCGAAGGGGTATTTAGTCATGATTTATTAATATGGAAACTAATAGTTCCATCTTTTTATTATTGCAGATTACACTAATCAGCATAAAGGTAATAGCACGAATGGACTGAACAACATTTTAAATTCTAGTTTATCTCATAATGGATTGCACTCATCTCTCAACGCTTTGAATCTTAATTCATCTACAAAATCTAATGGATTTTTAAATAACTCCTGGGGATCTAGTTCAACCACAAATGGTGTCCATGAGGGAAGCAGAGGGAATGGATGGATTGGTGAGGCTCATATTATATTTTCATGATGCATCAGCATGGTTACATATTTTTCAATAAATATCTTTTCACCATTTTAATAAATTTTTAAATTCTTTTCTGGCAATGTTTTTTGCTAATTAAGGAATGCTCAAAAACTTGTTTGTATAATATGTAAATGAAATGTTGTTTACATTTAAATTTATTATAAATTATTTGCATAAAAATTTGTGGTTTTGCTATGAATTAATATCATTATTACTGTTATAAATTGTTGCTAAAATTTTGCCCATCAGAATATATTATGAATAAAGAATAAAGGCATATCCAAGACTATGTCCTCCTCAAAACAAAAAAACCTGTCAATACATTTTGCACAGGTCATCTGTATGCATGATTTCTATCTACCATGAATATCTATTATCCCAATTTGTTGCTAGAATTTCAATATGCCAAGATTGCATGATAGTTTTCTTATGTGAGAAAATTGCTTTCCGTGTTTATGTACTCCACTTTGTTGGTTTGCTGCATTTTTAAAATATTTTTCTACTAACGCACTGCACTCTGATTCACTATGCTTTTTGATCACATCTTTGGTGTTTCTTGTAGTCCAGTTTACTGAAAGACTTTTGATTATTATCACCAAAAAATAACTTTTGAAATAATTGTATTTGACAAAGTAAAATTAAAAATAAGAAGGAATAGATATAGTATTTGTAAATACATTCTTTCTAATGTAGGTCAATCCTGTTTTAGAGAGTAATTTTCTATCCATAATTGATAAGGTAATCTATTTTGTTTTAGAAATAAATGGTATAATTTTCATATTTTACATGGACAAGTAAATGTTCTTTTTCTACCATTCTTTATTGCAGAAAAGAATTTCATTTGAATATCCTAAATGAATTCTGTTAAGGTAAATGTTATGATACATAAGGTTTTTTATGAAAAAGGTTTTGTGTTATTTCTGCAAGATAGATTTAGAATATTTGATTTATTCCAAGAGCTCTTTGTCTAAAATTTTCAAAACATACTATTTTTGTTAAAAAAATAATTTAGTGCCATCAAGTGTACATGATTGCAGTATACAAAAAAACACCAAAAGGAAAAAAACAATATATGTATATAGTAAATAAATTTATGTGTAATCATATTATACTTTTGAACTGTGTTTTGGTGTGAAATGACTATATGTATTTATTATGCATGTCATACCAAGAATTCCAACTAATACTAACTAACATATGAAACTATAATGAATTGAACTGATAAAAATTGCAGGACTGTAGTAAATAGGTGTTACTTTTTCCTTTGTTATTTAAAGAAAAATCATGGATGATGCCATCTTAGATGATATAAATAGAAAATTATGAAATTCATAACTCAAATAAAACAAAAACAATTCTATTGATGTCTTAATATTCATTTACTATATTTCTTGAAAACATATTCATCTAAAATTTGTTTGCTGTACTATTTACATTATTAATACATTTCAATAGATGATTGTATGTAGAAAATGCTTTCACATACTTTGAATAATGCATTATTTTTTTTATGTCAATAGGAAATGGAATAGATGTTTCACCTGATTTGAATGTAAGAAGACCAATAAGACTCCAAGCTTTGCCAGTTTTGGATAAAAAGTACAACACAAAGAGAAAAAGTGGTAAAACAGAATTAAATACAATGGACATAATATGAAAATCAGTTATTGTTGTTATTAACAAGAATTTTGTGATAAGGAAACTATTTAAAATCTGGATTGTACCTGCTTTATGGAAAAAACAATAACAGCTTGTCCAACAAGGTCCCATCTTTCATATTTCAACTTTAAAAGAATATAAGCAACTGTTATCTCTCTACCCAATACTTTTCTCAAAATATTTACAAGAAATATGAAAATAGCTTTAAAATCTGAATGACTAATGCCTAATTTAAATATATTTGATTGTTAATTTTAGATTGTATCTGACTGTGATAAATGAATTTAAACATGGAAATTTGGAGACTCTTCCCACAAATATCTTGTCTTTAAATTCATTATTCTATCAGAAATATTATTGAGGTAACTAGATATTATTGAAATAATGAAAGGTGATGAATTTTCTCTCAAATGTGCCTACAATTGAAATACAATATTTAATGTTGCTATTTGGTTTTTCAGCATTTGTTAAACATTCCATGAGAAATCTTCAAAGAGACATATTAGAGTAGTAATGACAATAGAAGAGAAGATCATATCATGTTTCATACTTGTGGCAAAAAGAGATAAACATAAAGTATAATTAAGTATAGCTAACAATGTGAAGTTAAAAGGATAAAATAGTTTCAGGAATATCAGTGTTGTAGCAAGTTTAAACTAGAAACTTTCTAATCATAAACAACTTTTTTGAAGATTGTGCCTTCAGAATTGGGCAGAAGGTTTGGTTTTCTAGGTTTCACTATGCATGCAAAATAATTTAAAAGTCAAATTAAAATTATCTTGCGATACACAAAATAAGAATAAGCAAACTTATAAAACCAACCAACCAACAAAATATTCCTTTCGGCAAAATAATTGTAACAATTTAATCTTGTATATTCCATTCAGAAATTTAATAATTAATTTCATTGATGAAATATATGATACGATGCTGCCATGTTTTATCAGAGATTTTATGTTTTATCAGTTGATTATTTATGAGTGTATTATTTTCTTTTCTAGAATATGTCAAAATTTATTGTAAATGCACATGAAGTATACTTAAAAAATATTTGTAATATTGCTCTCGTCTTTATGCAAAACTAGAAAATTATTAAAAAAAATTCAATGTTAACAATTGTTTTATTTTTAACACTGAATTGAAAAATCTTTGCTCATTTAAAATGGCACAATGTTAATTATGAACTATTGGGCTAGAGATATAATCTATACTTTGTGCAACACTGTTTTTTTATGAAGTAGAATGCAAGTGTGAAGGGAAATCAAATATTTAGCCTCTCTTGATTGAAATTTACAAAATTAGTAAGTATATTCAGTTCGAATTCAATTGCTGATGCATAAAAATTCAGAAAAATATATAAACAAATTTTTAAATAAAATATGCATAGACAAAGATATGAGTATATAATTTTTGAAAATTGCTGCAATCATGATCCATGATTCTTCTCTACTAGTGATTTTGTGACATTGTGAAAAAAATAATATTGAAATGTTAATATTATTAATATGAATTCTGTACATATATCATGAACATGTTAAGATATTTGAAGAATAATTTTATATATATTTTGCTATGTAAATATGTGTAAAATAAAAACTTTGACAATGAAGTATTTGAACATTACAAAAAAAGCCTCATATTTATTTCTTTACATACATTGGAACTAAAACAAATATATAATTTCTTATTTAGCTATGACCAAGTACAACTAACAACCACAGATTATAGGTACAAATTGCACAACATCATCAATCAATTTCACAGAGTAAATAAAGTACAAATGTAATGACTGTTTTCCTCCATTCACAAACAATTTGAAGTCAAATATGATAAAGATATTTAATTGAAGACAGCACCGTCGTGACCCTGGTGCGAGAGATGCATTTAACCAGGGCGGCAAAAAATTAGAATATTTAGAAATTTAAATGAAAGAAAAAAATATGTAATGTACATCAAAGAGCAATACACTTCTAGCCCAGCGAGTTACTAAACTATGTAGGAGTATAACCATACATTCAAAAAAAAATTCATATTTCACCGATCACATGAAATAAACAGAACAATTTATGGGGCCGCATTGTTCTGTCCGTCCTTGGCATCATGGCATCAGCAATCATTCCGTCTGTCTGGTCAATGCTAGCGCATAAGCCGTTCAGACGGTTTTCTTGAAGATTGATATTCCCTCATCCATCTGGAGGAACTCGAGGCCCTGCGAGTTTGAAACGGAAATGTCGACATTTTGCAGTACTTTACTTGAAGACTCGACAAAAATTTCGTAATTTTCTCGAAAACGTCTTCAATTTTTATGGAACATTGTCTTTGGATAGCAAAGTCCTAAAAGAATGGAGCAGATCTCCATTTTCGTTAATGTTCCTGATTTTTCGAGAATTGCCAAAGTTCTACATTTTTCGGCGACATTCTACAACTACAATATTGAAGACAGATTTTTCTTTATAAATCTTGCTGAAAGGCAGTTCTTGAAATACGGTCAAGTACAATTTTCAAAACACATGAGTAGCTTTCACGTTATTTTGCGTGAAATATAAGCAATTTTAAACAATTATTTTCTCAAAGCGACTCCATTTTTTCCTTCGTACGTAGCAAAGGGAGGTTAAAAAATAGTTCGAAAATTTTCGAATATTGCAAAAAGAATTAACACTGAAAAAGTTGATGGTAGAGATTTTCGTGTTAAATTAAATCAGTTCTAAAAACTAGATCTTTAAAGAAGGCCATATAGATTAAAAAAAGTAGTTTTCGTGTAATTTCTGACTGAAGTTGCTGCAATTTATAGAGAACAATTTTAAAAAAACGGCCCCAATTTTTTTCTTATTTTTTCTAAGATAAAGAACGATCAAAATGGTATAAGTCTCATTTTCCTTGAAATTTCTGAATTTTCGATTTTTTAAAAACATTTTTTGCGTTTCCGTTGACGCTACGAGTCTCTTAATTCTTGTTGGGACTTGAGCGCCCCTAATTATTTTTCCCTAATTATTTTTGCCAAGACTCGTCACTTCGCAGCCAGTTTGTGTCTTTTATCTCTTCGGCCAGGGGCTCGGAGTCATTAGATCCCGGTGTTCCTAAACGTCACCTAACCAGGAATTCGCGAAGTCTCGAATTCGCTTAACCTTCGTGACTTCACAGAGCATAATTATAAAATTCGGCTAGCGATTCCGGCAATTGTTAATGTTCGAATATTGCGAGAAAATATGAACTGTTTTAGCACAATTAATTAATTAATTAATTATATTAAAGTTATGTTTCACTATTTAGAGGAGTGTCAGTCGTAGTGGCGTACCAATACGCAAAAACTTTCGGATGCGTTTTCACTTTTGATTCTTAATTATGACAGTAAATGTAAAAATGCAGCTTGTGACGCCATTAAAGATGGAAAAAACATTATCATTTTGTCACAGAAATGTCTTTACACTCTTTTTGATATCTCGTACCGTTTCTGAGTCGGGGTAGACTGTTTGAATATGTGAAGTAAAAAGTTGCTCTGGAGGTATACAAATTGTCATTTCAAGCAAATTTTAGAAAAGTACCGTGTGATTCCATATAAGATTTTGATTCAATTTTGTAGGCAGAGTCCCGCATATCTTAAAGGAACCTGTCTTATTAAAATGAACAATCAGACATCGCAATATTGTTTATGAAATGCAACTGAGCTTGCTAATTCGTACAATATAGATGCAGATCCCCCCACCTACATGCAGGCGAAAAAAGAAAACTATGTTCGGTTCTGAACATGACGATGACAGTATAAATGATCCAAAAGACAATTTCCGTATACCGTATGAATCGCATTTACGAATAGACGATTATATAGACACTACAGATTCATGTACAGAGGAAAGGTTTCAAGTGTTTAAAGAGCAAAGTGATGCGTTTAATTTTGTAAAGTCTTCAACAAACTAGAGGAAACCAGTTAATCAGACATATTAAACTACTGGTGCTACGGAATGTGCATGATCTGGCTGTCCGGGTGACGCCGCGTCGAAGGCTGTGTGCCGGGATTGTTAGCGGATCGGAGAAGGTTCCTCAGAAATAACTTACTTCGAGTCTATATACAAATACTTTAATAGATACTGAAAAACAGTTACAATTACAGGCGAGAATGACCTCGGCACCTCAGTGACGAGCACGCACGGCAGCGCAGGACAGTGACTGATCTGACTTGTTAGACATGGCGCAGAGCTTAAAATACCAGTGCGTACGTGACTTCTCCGGCGTTGTGGGCATTGAGCGTTTACAATCAAAAGCTAGGGCTCGTAGTTCGGCGGGGGGTAGTTTATCATGGTCCCTCGCGGGGGCTCCGTCACGTGTTCTACTGACCTACTGTCTATAGCAGTATTTATTAGGTTGCCTGATTCCGTCAGGGGCCCTCTTTATGGACCGTCAGCCGGTCATGAAGGGTGGCTCCGGTTTACATGACTCTATCTACGTACCTCTGTCTATCAGCGAGTACACTTTCTGTAGGGTGCCTGATTCGTTCAGGTGCTTCAAGCGGGTCGCTGTCAATGGAAGCGGTGCTCCGTTCGTGTTATCCTACGTGACCTCGTCTTAGCAGTACTTCGTTAGGCGTGCCTCATCGTCAGGGTGCGTTCAAGGGTCGGCGATCACTGACAAGGGTTTGGCTTGCCATTGTGGCCTATGTGACATCTGCCTCGTGTAACAACGTTTCGACCATCTTGTCGTGGTCTTCCTCAGGGCTGGTATGCGAACGACGAGGGCCTACGACTTCGGTGCTACAGAATGACACAGACTTTCCCCAATTAGTTTTCTATTTCCTTTGGTCTCGGCTAGCTATACGAACTTGCCACATAGTCTTGCCAACTGCCACTTATCGCCGTCCGTAATTTTTTCCCAAATTTTCTTAATTTTTCGGTTTTCTATAAATAGAACGGAAATATTATTTTATGAATATTAAAGAACAATAAAACCTTGTTCAGATTTGCAATTTTCTTTGAAAAATTTGTAGCCATTGCGCTTAAGCGCTACTGTAAATTCGAAATTTGAAGCTATTTCTCAAAGAAAATGTTTGAGTTTTCGAAAATCTTCATTTGAAGTACTTTAACTCACAAATACTATAGTATTTTTCAAATTGCTGGAAATGTGCATATTAAAGGTGTGAGAGTGTGTATAATTTTTGGGGGAAAAACCTCGAAAATACTATACGTCATATTAATGAGTGCAATTAGCACTATCCGTTCGAAAAGTTTGAAGAAAAGATTTGGGAGTTGTTTTTCAGAGAATGGCGTTTAAGGGTTTCTAAAAATGCGGAATCTTGAGTAAGTTTTCATAGAAAAGGTTGAATTTTCGAAAAACTTTATATGACATTATTTAAAGCACATGTACTCATAAATACAATAATGTGGACAAATTGCCGCTAATAAAACTATGAAGGACGTGAGAAACAATTCAAAAAAATTACATTTTTGTATTTTTTATAAAAACAAAATAATAGAGAAATATAGCATTTATGTCATCTTACAGAGTATATTTAGCACTATCCCTACCAAAAGTAAAAAGAAAATATTTGGAGCCGTTTTTGAGAAAATTTTGAAAATGTCCGGAGGGTTTCGTGTGAACTACCACCAAAATTTAAAGAATGTTTTTCAAAATCTCAAAGTTTCGACTGGAGCCGGATGGACAGGAGTTTCTTCAATTTGGAAAAAATCCTAAGTATTGTTTAGGCGCTAGTGGTGTATAAGGGGACCCCAAAACGTGTAGTTCCGTTGAAATCTCGAAATCGATTTTCCGTAGCATTGCATAACTTTCCCTATACTACGTTTAAAACTCCATATATACGTATGTATACGAGAAAGTAAAAATTGCATGGATCTATAATTTAAAGTGACTGATGAAACTGATATAGATAGTTCAGAAGATATAAAGCAATACAACTTGCAGATGAACTAAATACAACTATGAAACTTCTTAAATCAAAATCCTCTCCAATTAAAGTATTAGAATTCATATATCAACAAAAAACTTCGTACGGCGAGATAGTAATAAACTAACCGAGTTATTCTGTAATATTACCGTGATATTACAAATTTTGCCAGTTACAGTAGCCACCGGAGAAAGTTTTTTTTCAAAATTACACATTTTTCCTCTAAAAACTTCCTAAGCTCAACCATGTTTCAATAAATAATAATCAGATCTGGCAATGATACTAATTGAAAGTGAAATCCGCAACAATAATTCTTTTAAGAGTTTTATAAACAAATTTGCAAGTTTTGCAAAATTTGACAGTTTGAAAAGTGCCTTATTTTATATTCTACATAAGTATTATTTATTTAATAAATCTATGATTACACTTCCGTAATTACTATTTTAAAAACTAAATGTTTTACTATTACAAGTATGTAAATAATGTTTTCTGTTTGAAAGTGGCAAAATGTTCTTGCACCAGAGCGGCAAATCAGTACGTGACAGCCCTGGTTGAAGGACATACGATAAAATGCATGTAATCATTCTTTATACTAACTTACAAACATTACACCACAGAATTAAAAAAAGCCTGAAATTTTTACAAACAAATGAACTAACTGAAATAAATATTATGTCATAAATTAAATAAATATCCTCAAGCTTTTATGTACTGAAACCACTATTAGGAAT